TTTCGTCAAAAAAAACGTAAATATTGAAAATTATCAATATTCTGTGGCATTCAGTTTTTTAATTCAATAATTTTATCTAAGCATCGAAACTCCGCCCCTCTAAATTTAGCACAGTTCCTTCGAAGCCGACGACAAGCGATCAATTTTTTTTATCGGTGTCAATGCTCCCCTGCTTTCGGATTTAAATTCGAATGCCCCCAGGTCAACGTTTAGCATATATTAAGGACACAGTCGGTGCAAATGGGAGATTTGCGCCCTCTCCCCCGTCGACTGGAACTTCAAAGGGAGGATATTCAATATTCCGTCGAGATTAGACGAGTTTAAAATAAATGCTGTATGCGGTGGCTGACGGGACGTCCTATCTCAATATCAGTTCCGTCTGTTGTTTGTTCTTTTATAGCTTTACGCGTCAGGCAGTAAAGTTCCGAAATCCCGCTTCATATTCCCGAGCAGGGAATTTTTACGTGAATATTTTATGAGGGTATTTAAAACGCGACCTGTAAAAGGCAAAGTCATTTTTACGAGTGAAAAGTAATAGCGATGAAGGGTTTGGATCCGAACGGGCCTTTTTAATAACCGAGTTATCTGTTTGTAAGTTTGTTCTCTGTAAAGTGTGTTTCAAAGTATAGCGTCTTGGCTTTTGACGGATCCTCCCCCAAAATGTAATTATACCTATTGTTACTGGGTAAGCCCAACATGTAATAATTCACAGGAACTATAAGTAATGCACAGACTAGCGCAGAATATGAACTGAAAATAAACACAGCACATTATGGACACTGACAAAGGAAGCACTGAGAAGAGTGGAGTCATTCGAGATGTGGACTTCCGTCGTTATCAACATGTGAATGATTTTCCAAAGAAACTTCCACAGCCTACTGTAATAGTTTTTACTTCTGGATTCCTTTTGCGTCGGGTTTTGTTGAGTCGAACTAGCTAACGGTTCGCTAATCATCTTGTTGGCTTCTGAGTTTCAGTCAAGCTCTGAAGAATATAGTATAATTAGTATATTTTTTCTTAAAATGGATGCAAGAATCACCTCCCAAAAACAAGTATTAATTTTAGGAATCACCGTTCATAAAGTATAATTTAATTTAAGTTAATTCATGAAAACGTTTTTCCTATTTTTTAAGGCTTGTTTTCATGGTGATAGTAGGTATCATCACGAGCAAAAAAAAACTAGGAAAATTTTTCGTTGACAAAAAATATTGTATAAAATAGGCCTTTACTGTCAAACTGAAAAGTCATATTTGATCTAGTTTTTTTTTGCGAGCAATAGTACCTACTCTCATGAAAAAAAAATTACCTATGAGAGTTTAATAAGGTTTGTATTTAATGCGATGAAATACATAAATGTATACCCACATCATCGTGGAGATTAGCATCTAAGATCGCTTTTATGAGAGTACTATCAGCGTCAAATCAAGCCTTTATTTAAAAGGCAGATTTAGAGATATAAGATAGCAGCCTCGTTTTTTTTTATAAAGTACATATATAGTTTGAGCTGTTGTTTTCATTAAATTTTAGTTCACTCCTGAAATTTTAGCGATTTCCTTATATATATATATATATATATATATATATATATATATATATATATATATATATATATATATATATATATATATATATATATATATATATATATATATATATATATATATATATATTTTTTTTTTTTTTTTTTTTTTCTAGTTTGAGCTACTTTCATATATTGGGTTGTTCGGAAAGTCATTTCGTTTTTTTTGGGGAACATGAAAGACAGTTTTCGTATAATGAATAAATATTTTATTAAATTATATATTGGCCATTCTGGTCCAACACCTTTTGCCATCTTTCTGGCAGTAACATAATTCCCCTCTCATAAAAGTTTTGGTCCTTGCTGGCAAAAAACTGGTTCAGATGGTTTTTGACATCTTCATTTGATCAATGTGGCTTGTCGATTTACATATTCGATATGTCTGTTGTGAATGTTGTAAAACTGTAAATTACCAAACAACTATATAGTGAACCGTTGATTTTTGGCTTAAGGTTAAAATTAAATGTCTGAAGAAGGTCTTGAAGGCCGAAACGTCACAAAAAAAAAAAATGTTTCACAAGTAACGGAAACTTATTTTAATTTCACTAAAAAAGGACCAAAAAAACCCAAGAACCATTTCTTAAGAATATATATATATATATATATATATATATATATATATATATATATATATATATATATATATATATATATATATATATATATATATATATATATATATATATATGTATATATATATATATATATATATATATATATATATATATATATATATATATATATATGTATATATATATATATATATGTATATATATATATATATATATATATATATATATATATATATATATATATATATATATATATATATATATATATATATATATATATATATATATATATATATATATATATATATATATATATATATATATATATATATATATATATATATATATATATATATATATATATATATATATATATATATATATATATATATATATATAGCTGCTTGGCTGAAAAGAGCTACTTTCATATATTGTAGTATACTTTAGTATAGTACTTTAGAAATTTTGTCCGTTAATACGTAACGCAAATCAACCAGTCTTTTCAAACTGTTTATACTTTTATACTTCACTTACGACCAATCGCGTGCTTATGGAGTCTCGTGAATGCGGCGAGTCGAGTAACACGATCGTAAATACGAGGCCACCACCATGTGACTAAGGACTTTATCTGCACTCGTAAATCCTTCACGATCACACAACAAATATTCATTTTTACGAGTCCACGTTTTCTTTGTGTTGACAAATGCTTTTATTAGTCGACTCTGGACAAAGTTAGAACTCGAATGAATATTTTAAGTGCTAGTTACTCTTATTAATTTCCCCGAGGAAGAAAGAAAAAGAAAACGTTTCTCCAGTTGTCGGCGTTGCAAATAAACATCTGATCCATATTTTAAGGTCTTAATTCCAATGGTAAATGGGTTGGGATAAAAAAATGACAAATATAAATCATCACCGCCGCCCGAATATATAATTTAGCTGCGGATGACGCGATATATTTGCACGAAACAAGGGCCTCGTTTTTTTGATGGACGCCTTTCGGCGTTACCTACCCATAAGATGCATTCCTATCCCCCTGTTGCTTTGGAAAAAAGTTTTAAGCGATATATTATTCGTTTTATAAAAGCGAGCGATAAGACCCATCGGTTTTATACACTCGTTTTGTGGCCAGCAACGAGTGTATGGAAATACGTACCCTATAAACAACCAACAACAAGATGTAATAACAGCCCTTTTTCGCACAAAAGAAGAGTGGATTATGCAAACTGTACAATTTTCCTTATTGGACACTCGCACTGCCTTGCATATTTCTGTAACGCTGTAACGCTAGGACCTTTCTTCTACGTTATGTGTTGAATCGAACTTACTAGCAAGGACGCAGGATTAGACCAAAAGTTTTTATAAATAGTATTACAGTAATCAGTGGAAGTTTCTTTAAAAAATGGATGCTGCGAGTTTGTTACTTACTTAGTAAATGGGGATTTTCAGCTGACGAGCTATGTAAATTTCTCTCGTCTGTAAAAACAACACAACAAAAGTTCTTGAACACCTGTGCAGTGGGGTGGTTTAATTGTTACTCCTGCAAGATTCTGTGTAGAGATAAGGCGGAAATATTTCTCATTTCGTTAGATACGATTCTAATATTTGTAGTAGGAATTAGATTTTTAAGGCTTTAAGTTACCGATTCCTCTTAAACCGGTCTTGATTTAATTCTAGTTGCTTTTCTTCCATTTTGCCTCGCATCACCATAAACACGTCAGTTAATCCAGCCAAATATCAATTCTTTCAAACCGTGTAGGTACGAAACGGAGCCGATTTGTTGTTGAAAAAAGGTCATTTTTTTTTAAACACGTTGTATACATCAATCCATGACATGATAATAAAATACAAGGCCTAATTATATCATACCTAAAATCTAAATCAGAACGAGGCTGCTAAATTAACCCTCAAAAATGTTTTGCAATTACCAAAAACAACGAAGAAACTTTTAAATGGTCCACCTGGTGGTTAAGACATGAAGACTTGTCAACAAAAAAATGTAGTTATCTACGTATAAAGCACTGGCTATAGTAGCAAATAGTGGTCTGTGATGTCAGTGTAATTCAAAACTATATATTAAAAGTGGTGTTTCAATAAGAATAACATTTTTCGTCCAATGGAATGTTTTATTTCTATAACATCTGCCTCTTTTTATACAAAAACGCAAATTTGCAAATAAAACTTGGGAAATACCAGTCCAGAACTTGTTTGTTTAATTCTATGGCTATAACTATAGATTTGCTACAAGCTTGGGTCCGAAGCTCTATAATTGTGTACCAATTAGCATAAGAGATCGTAATGATAATGAAAAACCTTAAAAATATTTACCCAAAAGTGTAACCTAGTGGTGTGCACCAATTTCTAGATTTAATATAAGCCTCTAAGTCTGTGCTTCATATTTTCGTTTTGTTATTATTGTTTTCTTTTTATGGGTACTTGCAAGTTGTAATAATAATAATAATACATTAATTTCATTTAAAAATTAAAAATCTAGTAGTTAATTTACTAGTTAAGATTTTGCACGTACAAATTGATGGTCTGTGATTTAACTGCAATAAAAATTTAATTGGGACATATTTTGATATTTCTGGTATTTAGAGAGGTTTTGCATAAATTTCGTTTGTGTATACTTAAGTAATTTATATAAGTGACGACACTGTATAGAATGAAACGCTCATTTGTACAAATACAGGGGTAAACTAAAGTTCTTCTTGCTCCCTTAATGTATCGCGTCACTAATAACTATATAGTCGAACCTCAACACCAACTACCCCAAAACTTGCCGAAGTTGCGGCCATGTTCCGATTTAAAAATATTTAGTGTCCGTGTAACATATTAAAATTTACTTTTAGGAAGTCTATTGCGGCATTGAAACTATCTGCACCGTCGACGGCTTACATTTTCACTGCATGTACAACGCCCGAGTGAAGGCGTTTAACAGTTCTGGTGAAGGAGAGTACAGCGAACTAATAGGCTTGCAAACAGCCGAAGGTAACAACCAAAATCGTAAAATTGCCAGTATACGTTAAATTGTATTTTAGTTGCGTGGTTCACTTTTGACCCGATATTATCGGGACCGGGGCTGCAATATTCACAGGACAACACGACCGTGACTGGAGAAGGCTGGGAACACCGCGTTTCCTTGGGCAGCGTGGGATTTAGTAGAGGAATTCACTATTGGGAATTCACCATTGATAAATACGATGCGGATACCGATCCGGCTTTCGGAATTGCACGGATAGATGTCACCAGGGATAAAATGTTAGGTACGCTGTTTCTAAAATAATTTCAATTGTTGGCTTGGTTTCACATATTTTTCAATTAATATTATTAAAATGAGAGTAGGAAATACCTTGTAAATACGTTTTTCTACTCCCGTCTGTAAAATACCTAATTACGCACCGATCTAGCGTGCGGGAAGCGTCGCTTTACCACATCAGTTTCGTTTCCCACGAATCCGAGCTACTTCGAACATTTCCGAGATTTTACCGCACTGGTTTGGCAGCAATCGGATGTTTTGGGAGATATTTCCCACGCTTTGAATTTTGACGTTTGCCAATTCTGAGTCATGTCAGTGAATGTATTCGAGTTTTGCGAAAATGTACCCAAAAACTCCGCTCGTGTCAAATAAACTCGTGAGTCAAATGCGGTTTACCGCACTTGTTGCATAATATACTATTTTAGGCAACTTGGGGTGTGAAGACGTAGGGACATAATGGATCGAAAAGTCTAAATACTGTAAACGGCAGGGACGCACCGCAAATAGAATAGGAATAAGAATAGGTTTCTATTAAACGATACTTGACTGTTCAATAAATGGGTACAGCCAATTTTAAATATGATTTTCGATAAGATGAGCAATAAGTTAATGTTAAATTGTAAATTAGCGGACAATTTCAACTAAATAACTTTTACAGAAATAAGAAGGATTTGAAAATAGATAAATTGTAAAAATCTACCATATACAAACTTCATAACCTTCCAAGTAGTTAAGTGAACTGTAGTCGTTGAAGGCTAGAGAAATAATAAGCGGTTCTATCTAGTGTTTTCTTTTATGCTCTCCGCTTCTGTATATTTGCATCAGCATCAGCATTTATTCAAGTTTAGTCCAGTAATAAATATTCCCGTTTTTCCTTCGAAACTGTTCTCGAATGTCGTCGTCGCCAACAGATAATTTCGCCTTTCTCTATTAAAATGATTTCCTGTTTTCAGTTTTGCTCTTAATGAAAATTCATTTCTTTCAAAGTTTTCCTCAATTTCTTCTTACCCGTGGTATTTCCTTTTTTTAATTAAAACGAGGGTATTATTCTTCTGATGGTAGTCTTTTTATCAACACTTATTAGTCTCTTTTCTTCCTGCATGCATACATGTTGACTGTATGACTTGAGTCATATTTCACATTTCAACTATTTTTGAAGAGCTTTGACTTTGAACACATCTCCAATAACAATTCTCAGTTTTAGAAAGCGCTGTTTTACTAATCTGTTTCTCAGCAACAAATTCAGAAACGCTAGAGATTTTCAAGAACGAACTTTGCTAATGCCTGAAAGTAACTATAATTCTAATTTTAAACACTCTCGAGGCCCTTGACGATTACCATAGGTACAGTACTACGCCTATGTAATACGGCTAACACCACTAACAGAGCATAACTGTTATTTCTTTATGGTCGGTTTTATTGCCACACACTCTTAGTATAAACAAAATGTCACTATGTAACAAATATAGTTAAATTATTTCTTGCAGGTTGTTATTCTATTTCATTGCGGTAAATCATTTTTTAACTGTTAACTGAAAAAGTTGTATTTATATTTTCGAAAAAAAAAAGTTTTTGTAGATGAAGATGCTGTTTTTTCATTTTATTGTAGAAAGAATATTTTTATCTTTTGTTATAGAATATTGTTATTGTGATGTTTTTAGGTAAAGACGACAAAGGTTGGGCAATGTACATTGACCGTCAAAGGTCTTGGTTCCAACACGGCGGGGCGCACGAGCAAAGGGTAGAAGGCGGAATTCACATAGGGTCCACAATCGGGGTATTATTAGATCTCGACCAACATGTTTTGCAGTTTTACGTAAACGAGGAGCCCCAAGGACTGGTAGCGTTCAGGGATCTCTACGGGGTTTTTTATCCCGCAGTCAGTCTCAATCGAGGAGTCAGTGTAACTTTACACACAGCTTTAGATCCGCCATCAGATACAGATGAAACCTAACTAACTAAGCACTAATGGATATATAAAATATTTAAAATTGTCAGATTTACGAACCCCATGACTGAATGTTATCACCGAAAATATAATGCAACTTGACGTGATAGATTGTATGTGAGAAAACTTATAATTGACGCCACTTATACTAATGTCCACATTGTTGAAACGATGAAAAAGAATATTATAACATGTCACTGTTTCCACACTTCAGCCATGGGTCATAATCCACATTGTAACCCAAAATCTGTTTGTAATATATGTCAACCACAAAAAAATAATAGTTATAAGGTTCCCATGATATGCTATTCACATACATGCCCACATTCAGAAAAACTACTCAAATAAATATTTACTTTGTACATATCATGTTTTGGACCTCTTTATATTTCACAACCTAAAAATATTAGGATGAAAAGACTGATTTGATAATTATTGTTGCATTCGTCTTTTTGCATAATTTTTAATGTTACTACAATCCCCCAACTTTTTTAACAAATATTTTTGTTATACTGGAAGTTGTTTCGATATCGATAGGGATGTTTTTAAATTGTCAATACCCTTTTCAGAGCACTTCATGAGTCTATAACCCGTTCCCATGGCAATTAACGAACATCACACGCATGTTTTGTATTTTGATACGAAAGTCATTGGATTGAGACTTAATATTAACAACCACTTTCAGTTTTTTTTTTACATAAAACAAAAAAGCTATTATTTTTCTAGTCGGGTGTGGTAAAAGAAAAACAACATTTCCTTTAGCTTTAAGTGAATTTAATTTATTATCTTTTTTTTGCCATATATTAAGATTCTTTTTAGATTTATCAAGAAATTACATGATTCCATCTTAAGCAATCTGTTATAGTTGTCATCTGTTTACTATAGGATTAATGTGTTTCAAATTTTATTGGTATATGTATATCACTTTGTAAATAAACATTTATATACATCAGATTGTGTTTTTATCCATGGCCTTAAAGTCTTACTTATACAATTAAAAAAATAAAACAACAAAATTAACTTTTAAATTTAATGCTTTTAGAAACATAGGCTTTGATACCAGAAATTTCTCCGCCATATCTAGTAAGCTCTTTTCTTGGTTCACGCACCTAAAAAAAAAAAAGATAGTAAATCTAAATGACAAGGGGCCTACAAATCCTACGGCTCCTTTTCTGCGAATGATTGCTTTCCTGTATTTCAGCTTATGTTTGACTCTGGGATTTCTGAACTCCTTCTTTCTGTGGGGAGTCAACCCCTTATTCTTTGCTATTTGATATGTAATTGCTCTTTTGCCTGTATCTATAAGAAATTGCAAAATAAACAATTATTTTTGAACCTTCTCCCAGATTGTACCTTCAGCCTCCTTTTCTACGTCTTCGACATGTTCCTTTAGTCCAGATTCTTCTAACTCAAATGTAACATGTTTATTCTTGGCCGATGATTTTTCGGCTCGAAGTTTTTTATTGGGTGGCTCAACATTTTCACTCGATTTGCGTGATTTTTTATTTTTTTCTTTCGTTGTAGTTCCCTTTATTTCCTCCAGAGGTTCGACTTTCTCTTGCAACAACACTTCTATTTGTGGTTTGATAATTTCATCAAAAACTGGACCTAACTGAGCGATTAACTGTCTATATTGATACAACCGCTTTATAACTGGATGATTTTTCAATTGCTTACTATTTTTTAAGAGTAGATACATGTATATGTTGCCCAAATAACTGAAAAGGAGTTTTTATTGAAATAATACTTAAAATAAAGTAATTTAATTACTTGCAAATTAATTGATAATGATTTTCAACAAACTCTACAGCTTTGGTTCTGGGGATGTCTCCATTCTGGTGTTTCTGTATAACTGGGTATAAATAATCCCTAATAATTATCATTTTACCTAAAAAACACTGCATTATTAAAAAAAAAAAGATTTAACACACAAACATACATTCAAAGTCCCCTATAAGTCCAAACATTTCAGGTGATTCCTTATGCAGTATTTCTAGTTTTTCTTTTTCTGATAATGTTGCAATGCCAGTTTTTAATATCTGTTCCACGCCTTCTTCAGGTTCTTCATCCTTTTTCTAACAGCCCAAATAGATTCTTATTTAACAACCTGAATGTTATACAAATATTTTGCTAAAACATATTACCGTAAAAATAGTATCGAAAGCAAAATCATTATCATCCAGTTGTTGTATGAGCTGAGTTTGTAAATTTTTTGCTTCTTCCTCCTCAATTTCAGCAGCCTCAGCATCTTTTCCTTGAAAACCTCCATAGTCCTCATCGACATAATCAGCTCCGTAGTACTTTTTCTTTTCTTTACCCCATGCCCTCACATCTGGGAGGTCATCATAATCATCTTCTCGCTCCACATCACTTAGAGCGATGTCACTATTATTGGAATCATTTTCACTCTCTACTCCTACACTGAAGACTTCTCTCTAAAAAAATTGAGCTATAAGTGTGATTATAGAGTTGACTTACTAGTTCAATAACTTCGCTATCTGAATTGTCCTGACTTGAATTTTTGAACTTTTCCAACAACCTCTTCTCATTCTCATCATAATCGTCATCAGAACTAGAGGGGTCATACTCATTTTCATTATTATGATTTCTAAAATTAGAAAAGAAATATGTGTGATATATAATTGCGTTAATAGTATCTAAATTTTACCCCAAGTTATACGACATTGTCAAGTATTTCTATGAATAAAGAGTCTTTACATAAAATAGCGCAGTTCTCACTTTGCAAGGTTATCTTATGAAAAAATATGTTCTACGTTTCGGGGATATTCTCGTATATCGTTTGGACAACATACTAAGCCCATATTACCATTCTGAGAAGCATTATTGTTTGTGTTACTAGTCGGATAAATACATTATCTTTATTATTCCTGTTTCAATATTTCAATATTGCCACATAGTGGCGTAGAATCGATAATGTTTGGTATACTCTATTTTGAAAACTGTATCTCCATAAAATACATATATTTTTTTGGAATATACTGATAAAGCTAAGCTTAACAATTAATGCATTTGTCATCATATTTAAAATGTACAATCTTCTTCTTATAATAAATCTATGTAAAAACGCTCCACTGATTTAGAGAAACGCCGCTAGGGTTCGTTCTTGTATTTCTTTACTATTGGTCTGCCATTTTAGTAAAATCATTCTTTGTGTGGCGAACTACGTCGACGTAAACGTAAAAAAAGAGGAATCGAAATAACTTTGAGTGCAGAAAAGACAGTATTCGAAAAGTATGAATAAACTTTTTAACGATCGAGAAATCTATCAACGGCAAACGGAGTAAAAATCAGGCAAGTCTTGTTTACAAATTACAGCCACTTTATTATACCAGATTTGTCAAGGGTACTAAGCGAGAAGTAGCCATTTTAGTTGAGCTAAAAATAATATTCTCAATTCCGAAAATTTCTTCTACATCTGTTGTTAATTTGGCATTTTAACAATTAAATTTGAACTTTTTGTATGTCTGATGGTCGTTTCGATAAATATTCTTTTGATCCGTTAATTAATATTAGACTTTATTTCAGTAGTACTATAGTTTATTTGGTCGTCCCTGTATAACAAAAAGTTGATCGACTTTTTCAGTCTTTCAGATCTGTTTCCTGTTTACAAGAGGATTTCTTTAGATCTACATATTGTAGAAGGATTTGGGTTTCATAAACCCTAGTTTTTATTAACTCAGCTTCAGGCATTTGGACAAAAAAAAAATGTTGGCCGCAGATAGTATAAACACTTCCAACAACCACAATCATGTGATGACCTTGGATAGTAAAGTGTAAGTTTTTATTTAAAATGTATTTTTGCGCCCTTGTAAGGTTTTTGCTGTTTAGTGACATGAATTCCAAAGTGGATGACAAGGGATGGAAGGCTAAATTAAAAATTCCCCCAAAGGATCACAGAATTCGTACAAGTGTAAGTTTTTCTCTATGTCTTTGAATATTTACTTGTTACTAGTTGGAAGACTTAAATATTTTCATTGTATTGGTTTCTATTTAATTTAATATGATGAAAAATGGATTCCCCTTCATTCTTGTGTGAATGACAGTTTCCTATCTGAATTTCCAAGTGCATGCTTAAAATAGTAGCGTTCTTTAGCATGCTGGTATAATATTAATTAACTTTCTTCCTATCAGGATGTAACAAATACAAGGGGCAACGAGTTTGACGAATTCTGTTTAAAACGGGAGCTCCTGATGGGGATATTTGAGAAAGGGTGGGAGAAGCCTTCACCTATTCAAGAGGCAGCAATTCCAATGGCACTATCTGGAAGAGATGTACTTGCCAGAGCAAAAAATGGAACTGGTAAATGATTTGTGATTGATATTTTGGCATATTATTAGTAAGCCTGGCCTAACTCTTAAATGTTAGGTTAGGGGGACAAATATGCTAAACAAATAGCTTGGCTCGTTCATAATTTCTTTGTACCGGTTTTGTACAAATAGTAACAGCCACATACATTGTATTATACTTTCCATTGTATAGTCGAAACTGAACAAATGTAACTAACAATAAACAAAAATATGAATAGACCAAGGTGCTATAACTGAACTTGACCGTCAATTAGGGTGGTCCAATCAAACAGACTGCCTCTAGAAAACTTAATAGTTCATATTTTGCTATATTAACATTAAAATCCTCCTTTAACTGATCGGTATTTTTTGTCCAACAAAAATCATGATACTGTTAATATACAACTTAAACAACGTAGAACTGTTGTTTAATTGACCGGTATTTATTTACTTAACAATTAATTTATATATTTCAATGTAACGAGAACTTTCAAGGAAGATCTGTCATTCATTGTTACTCGATAAAAGAGAAAAATAACTTACATTTAAAGTATTGCTATAAAAAGAATCACCTCTCAAATATTTTATATTTACTGACATTAAAATACTCTCGAATTTGTGACACATTTTTGCGTTTTGTGTGATGGTCTTTTTCACTTAATTTTTTTTTTTATTTGTTATATATGTATATTTTTTTTGGTTGTAATTTTTCAAAAAATATTTCTATTTCTATTTCCTGATGCAACTTTCTTTTGGTATATTAGTATTGGTACTCTGGTAATATATGTAATTAATAATTTAGTTTTGGTTAGTTTTATTAATTCATTCGGTTGCCCAATTTTTCATTGGGTATTTTGTCATAGAAAGAAGTTTTGGGAGTTCATGGGGGTTCTCATTTTTTCCAAATTTAGTTTACTCTTCTGCAAATTTGTAACACTAATTGTGTTTTTTTTTTTTAAATATTTTTGTTTATTTATTTATTTATTTAATTAATATTGCTGATAAATGTACAAGATAAGGTAAGCTATTTTGGAAGTACTTACAGGAAGCCACATAATATTTGTTGTAATTGATTCGGATCTTGAAAAAAATAAGTTATTTCAGTTTTATTTTCATTCAGAGCTTATTTTTATTATTTCTAATTTAAAGTATGCATATTGATTGGAATTTCATTATTTGTTATTACAAATATAGTATTTGTCTAGGAAAGACTGGCGCATATTCAATACCAGTGTTGGAACAAATTGACCCTGCGAAAGACTATATTCAGGCTTTGGTAATTGTACCTACAAGGGAACTGGCATTACAAACGTCTCAGATATGCATTGAACTCGCCAAACACCTGCAAGTACGCATAATGGTTACCACGGGTGGTACCAATTTGAGAGATGATATCATGAGAATCTACCAGAAGGTACAGGTTATCATCGCTACGCCAGGTCGAATATTGGATCTCATGGAGAAAGGTTAAGTTTGGATTGTTGCGAATGAATTTGTTATTAATTAGTGGCGATATTCGAATAGGAGTGGCCAAAATGGATCAATGCAAGATACTCGTACTGGACGAAGCAGACAAACTATTGTCGCAAGATTTTAAAGGTATTCTCGACACTGTGATCAAAAATCTGCCGAAGGAGCGGCAGATCTTACTGTTTTCCGCTACATTTCCGTTGTCTGTTGAGCAGTTCATGAAGAAACATTTGCGGAAACCATACGAGATTAACTTGATGGAGGAGTTGACGCTCAAGGGTGTCACCCAATATTACGCGTTCGTCCAAGAGAGGCAAAAGGTCCATTGCTTGAATACTCTTTTCTCCAAGGTGACACGACCCACTTTCTCCTATGATTTTGGGTTGTCACGCTTTTTTTTTTCTTACAGTTGCAAATAAACCAAAGTATTATATTCTGCAATTCCACGCAGAGGGTGGAATTGCTCGCCAAGAAAATCACCGAGCTGGGATATTGCTGCTATTACATTCACGCGAAAATGGCGCAGGCGCATCGAAACAGAGTTTTCCACGACTTCAGAGTCGGCCTGTGCCGGAACCTAGTCTGTTCTGATCTGTTTACAAGAGGTAACTTTTCAGATTTCAGATAATTTCATTTGAATATCTATATTGAACCCTTAGCCCTAGATTACTATGGTATTTCAAAATTATGTTACACTCCTATCCCTTTTTTTGTGATATTTATTTATAAAAATAATATTAAATATAAATAAATAGTAGATATTAAAATATAACTTATATTCGAACATTGAAACCATAATTTTCATTGATAGCCAAATTACTGATATATATATAATCCCTTTCCCTTTAGCAGGAGTAAAATAAAATTTGTGGGACATAATATGTTTTTATAATATTATAACATTATCCGTGGATAGTGGACACTAATTGTTGCATATAAAGGGTTTTTTGTTTTATGACTTGGTCCTTGTGAGTATGTACGAGGTGTTTGAAAAACATGCGCTGACACTGCTGGAGATTTTTTTTGTTATAATATACCTTGTTTGTACAATATCCATCATCTGTTCTATAATTTAAAAAAACTAACCAGGACCCTTGGTGGACTGAAAAATGTGGATTATTTCTTTGTTTTGTCCATTATGCATCGTGAAAAATCTCGTACTGCTGAGTTATTTATAAGTGGAAACTATGAATATCATCAAAATTAGTGGTTGTAACGCAAAAATAATTTTCCGATTTTTTTTTTTATTCGCATTTTTAAATTGGACATCCATCAGTCAATTCACACCAATATTACCACATATAAGATTAGTACGACCTTTTATTTCCAGAATGAGGTGTTAAGCTCATTTCAATTTTGTGTTAAATTCAGGATACAAACTAAATGAATAAAATTATTATTGTTTTATTATTACGCATTTTATTTGTAACTAGGCAAAATAGGTACACAGGATGTCAAATTGCAATTTAATTTGTAAATCATTTAAATCACAATAACTCATTCATAAGACACATATCTTACCAAGTTAATAAGTAGAAGGATGGAATAATAAAAATAAACAATTCCAAGGGTAAACACTGCAAAATAACAATACACTGGAATAAGTTCTGTGTGTTAGTTTGATGCCCAGTCTAGAAGGTAGCAAACGAAAAGATATCAGCTCTCCTCCCCGACCCTCGAAAAATCATATGAAAGAATATCAGGACTCTGTGGTAATGAATTTTAATTACAACTGACAAAGTTGCTAGTTATCAGTTAAATACATGCAAAGAGAGTAAAGTATTCCAAAGGATTTGAAAATTTTTCTACAAAGCTCAAGCAGAGGTATGCTCACTTCACTCTGTATAGTCCCAAAACAGTAGCCCAATCAGTGTTTGAGAAAACCCTCAGCAACAGTTTCTTTTAATCTCTTTAATTGACAATGGAAACTTTATTACATCTGTACTTTTTGCGGAGTTTCCCTTCACTTTAATTAATAAACAATATGCATCTACATAATCTTTTCTTCAAAAAAAGGGGAAATAATGTCTTATTTCAATTAAGAATAAGTCATTACTAAAATTTCTCACTACAATTACATTTTCTTAAAATTTTCATATTTTCATGACTCAACATTAGCATTGGTATCATTTAAATCTATCCTCGCATTTGTATATTTACTTTGAGGTCCATGAGAAACAGCATTAACCTTTTAAGATCTTTACTAGAACTTTGAAGCACTTGAGAGCGCCACAAAGTATTGGGTTCTCTAATTTTTTCTTTGTGCAGTCGATTTATGCCTTTTTTTAAATTTCTTTAATTCTTACCATTTTACAGATGACCATAATATTCCTATTAACTGTGATATTTAATCAATTAATTAATTAATAATTAATAGTAGCAGGGCAATTGATGGTCTTTAAATGACAAAGATTTTAATTTTTATATTTATAGCTAGCTGCTAAAAATCTGGGCCTATAGGTTAATTCAGACTTTAGTTTCTCACGTCATTCCTTGATTTTACTTCGAATATCACATTGTAAACTTAAAATCCTAAATATACATGAGCACAGATATTGACTGTGTGGAGGTTTAGTTCTATCAAAGTTTGCATATTGTTGGGATTGACCAGTCCAATTTTTTTGTGTCAATTGACCGAAATAATTTTAAAAATACTATAAAATTTATAGTTTATAGAATTCGTATTTTTATTGGGATTCCCCGAATCGGTAAGTACCATATAAGTGTTGTAGGCAAATTGGATATCACAAATGCTTAATAATTGATTATAAAATATATGATTAAATAATGATAGATAACAATTGTTAGCCATTGTAGGGGCAAGATGTTATTTAAAAAAATTGACTAATCAGTTTTACCTTACTTGTCAATATTTAATACCTTACTTTATTTCTCAGCTCTCGGTACTTATTCTGGTCTGAGGTTCCATTAACTTAAGGATCTCGTCCATCATCCGGTCCTGTCTTTTCTGCCTCTTGCTCGAGCTCGGATATTTTCTGCACGGCTCTATCATTGACTTTTTTGCCTCTTTTTCATTATCGTTCTAAATGTATAATAATAATACTTAATAAAACGATGTTTCCTTTCAGGTATCGATGTGCAAGCTGTAAACGTCGTGATCAATTTCGATTTTCCAAAGATGGCAGAAACGTATCTGCACCGTATCGGCAGGTCGGGCCGTTTCGGACACTTGGGCATCGCCATCAACCTGATAACCTACGACGACAGGTTCGCGTTGCACCGCATCGAACAGGAACTGGGTACGGAAATCAAGCCTATACCGAAAGTGATCGACCCGAAACTGTACGTGGCCAATTCCGACGGGGACGAGACGGACGAAAACGCCCTGACGGCCACCCTCTCCAAATAATGTGCGCGTCCGAAAAAAAAAAAAAAAACTTGTAAATAGGCGGAAACAACTCAAAAATCGTATAATTTCTTTTGCGTTTCGTTATCAGAAGAGAAGTTTTTTTTAATTTTTATACAACAAAAATTTTTGGGGAATATTTATTGACTCTAAACGGGCCCACGAGACGTGGCGGGGTCGAGGATAAGGGTGCGACGTCCGTCGCGGGCAATTTAGCGGGGCGGGGGCATGCCGCAAGGTGGATATGCGTTAATCTGCGGGGTGTTTCAGAAAACGCGCCCTTAGTTGCTAGGGCGAAGGGAACGTAAAAAAAAATAACGTTAGTTTGGTTAATAAATTTTTGCCGAAAAAGCAGGGTGCTAAAAAACTTTTTTCTTTTCTTTTTAATTTACAAGGGAAATTTCAAATTCGATCTTCGGTTGGCTATTAAAACTTACTGCTGACAACAAAATTCGAGTTCACGGAATGGTTTTGGTCTGAGTTGTTACTTCCTCGATTAACTTCAAAGCCCGTTTAAAAAAAAAAAGATGCAATCAAACTAACTGCCAAGCAAGGTATTATTTTGGTCGGCGTTACTTTCTTAAACTTACGGAAGACTGTTGTAGAAAATTGTGTTCGATCGAAAATATATATATTAATAATATTTTCTACAGGAGCGTGATTAAAAAAAACAAACAGTTTTTTGAAGGAAAATAAAACTAATTGCAAAGGTTTGAAGTTTTAGGAAGCAATTCTGACCGAACTGTGAAGTAGAAATTTTGTAAACTTCTGAAGCTATTTTCAGGTCAGGTCAGGTCAGGTTATGCTTAATGTGAAATTTGATTAAACTTGCGAGACCAAAACAATTTCCAAAATAATTACTAACTTTAATAATTAATAATATATGGCAAGAAACAATGACCTAAAAAATAATAATAAAAATAAAAAGACAATGAACGACAAATTGTTTGAAAATCAGAACATTAAATTAAATTGATAAATTGATTAAAATTTGATCAACATTAGGTTTTACCATCCCTTCAAGCTAAGTATTTTTTTTTACGACATATTGATTTAAAAAAAAAGACGATCTTAGGAAATAATAATTTTCAAAAACAACTGTGAAGTTATCAACGTATGCTGCTTAATGTGAAATGCAATCGAACTAACCAAAGGAACCATCAAATAAAATCGAACCAATCGAGTAACAAAAATCGCAAAAAGCTTTAATAGTAACAAGTGTTACGAAGAACGAATAAATAACTTTTTGACGAGAAATTATAATTTTTGGGCAAAAAATGGTAATAAATAATAAAAATAATTTTCGCGACATTCCTGTACGAAATATAAAAATGTCGGCAGGCGCTTGTGCCACCCCATACGTATCAACGCCAAATTATTTTTAAAAATGTTGCTGTACGAAATGTGAAACTCTTGCCTACAGTCACTTTGAAGACCTAATCAAACGGTATTTGCGGTTTAAATTTCATTTACAGGTCTAAAATAATCATTTTAGGGGCCTGTTTTTGGGTGCACATTTATTAACCGAAATAACATTGTTCATTAATTTATTAATCCCAGAAATCGGTGACGAGTTTTTTGAAACTCCCTGTATATTATTCAAAGTACAAAGCCATCGGCGGCAGCGCCCCCACACGCCTGTCGCTAGTTTCAGACCGACATCCTCGTTACCCGATGTCGATCCGAACGTGTCCACGGGGGGCACCACCCTATATCTCGCTCGTCACGATTCGGGGCGTTCCGCCAATCGGACCGGGTCGATCAACAGAATCTCCGTCGACTCTGGTCCGAATGACGGCAGCGGCGCTCGTCTGGTGTAAGTTTAATCGCGGTTCGAGTGAAACAAAGGTGCGATTTCGAGTGCGTCATCGGAGAAAACGGACTCCATCGACTGATGATCGAAAAAAGACTCGGGGCGGGACAACGTATCCTTGGATACGGCGCGTGCGCCAAGTGGAATATCATATCGGGCAGTTGGAGGAGATTCTGGTCGAGGGGGCGGGTGGGGGCCCCCCTAGCGTTGCTGAATTTTCTGGGACATTCAAAATTTGTAAGCGTCGCAGCAACGGCGTAGTAACTTGACGTTTTTTGTTTTGGAAAAAAAAAGTAGACGGAATCATTTTTTGTTGGATTATTTTCATTGGGGGGAAAGTTATTAATTAAAAACATTAATTACGCGCGCGTTAAAGTTTATCTTTTCTCGACGGGTAACGAATTTTCGCGCACGCGTAATTAGAAAGAAATATTTTGTTAAATCGAAAAGTAAAACGTGAAGGGTTTTTTTTTTTAACTAGTTATCGTGCAATAAGACAAAAATTTCCATTTTACCCGGAGTTTATAATTTATTACGGGCCGTTTTCGACTTTTATTTTCCAATTAATATGCGTTTGGAACTAATAAAGATCTAAATCATCCCTTCACAATTGGCGTGTTTCGTTTGCAACCTAACTTGCTGTTTTCCCCACTTCCTTATTCAAGTGCTGAAGAATTGGATATTATAGGTAGTTTGCAACTGGTTTGGGATGTTGGAACCACTAATTGTATTGATTCAGGTTATAATTGTTTCCTAACGTTTGACTAGGAGCAGTGACTAACTTCTAGGCCTTTTATTTATACCGCTAACCTATCCAGGAGAATTCGCCAAGTAGGAAGCTTCTCTAGAGGTTCTTCCATTTCCGATGTTGGACGTAGAGTAGACTGACTAATCAGCCTGCGCAGGTTATCCGTTTAAGTACTTGCGCAGGAGAATTAGTCAAACACCAACTTGTCGAGAGTCTGTTGTTTATTCATCATTTCCTAACAGTTTGATAACTGTCGGACTAGTTTGCTACTAACAGCATTACAAAAGTAAAAAAAAAATGAGGCAGTTTCCAAAGTTTGGTTGGAAGAATACTACCAAAGGTTCAGGGATTTTTGAAAGTGAATTAATGTATCGAACAATCAATGAGTTCGGAAACTATGCAAATAAATTTCGGATATTGCACACACATTTTTTTTTTAAATAAATGCTAATGAACGTGATAGGATTTTGTAGTCACAGTTACGAAAGTTCAGCCATAATAGAAATATATCAAATTCATACGATGACAAATTACGATTCCAACAACCAACAATGTGAGTGACATCGCCCTTGTCAGCTTTCAAATAAATTATATGAAAAATTTAATTATTAGAAAACGGTTTAAAATATTTAGACAAGAGTTTGCACTATAAATTTTAAGTTCCATTGGACAGTTTTGTTGCTGTGCGGACTTTTGTTAAGTACACTTCAACTATCGGGAAGGCCGCCATTCACGCCGATGTCGAGGCTGGGTTAGACCAGTAAGAAAAGTCGACGGTACCGAATCACGCCGCTGTCCAGACCGGATGCACCCGAATGGTGCCTGATGGAAGTAGTAGATAATCGTCCCTAGAGAATGGTAGAATGCAAGATTAAGTGCATATAATAATAATAGTAATAATAATGTCTTTATTTTCGAACATAAATTTTACAAATGAATAGCGAGAAGTAAACAAATGTTCAAAAAATGGAGAAGTTCAGATGAGACACAAAGTAGGAAATTAATTAATTTATAAACTTAACCTAGGCCAAGAAGTGCACCTATAATATATAAAATAAATGAAAAAAACTAAAAGTGATATAAGCAAGTAATTTAGAAAAACATATCAATAAATAATGAAAAGCTCTACATATCGCCAAATATAATTTTTATATTTTCGTTTAAAATTGGAGGCAGACAATGCCTGGAATGCGTCTGGGAGTGAGTTAAAAAGTCGGGCAATGTTACCATTGGCGTCCTATGAAATGGTGGAGTGATCTTTCCCCTAAACCTGATATTAAAATTATGCACATGTGTTCTGAATACATACTGTATAAGTACGTAGGGCATTTGAAGTTTATAATTTTATAAAAAAAAAGGAAACAGAATGTAGTTCTCTCCTCCTCTCCATGCTAAGCCACCCTGTTTCAAAGAGTTTGTGTGAAAGTGGCTGCTACTTCCTTATTCCATGATTAAGTCTAAGGCATGAATTTTAAATTAACTGAATTTTTTTTTTATCAGAATTGTTTAAACAATTTGTGTAAACAACTAAAGTATTTACCTTTTTTTATATGAAGTGACGATGACTGATATGTTTTATTGACATAAGCTCTTCGACAACTATTTATATGAGCGGTAAATCTACGAGAACTATCAAATACTAAGCCGGCATATGCAGTGTCAATATGTAATTTAAGTCCTAATAATAATAAGCATTAATAAGGAGGGAGTGCTTTAAAGACAATTCTTTCAGTGCGTTCAGTTCCTACTGAATATTTCACATTTAAAAATAATGAGGCCACATATTCGTGACTTGATGTGGAAACCATCCAATAGAAGGACCGTTTAACAGACAACAGAGATTGGTGTTGGGAAAGGGAGTATGCGCGGAATATGACGCTTGCGCAAAGTCTAACATCGTATGGAGCAGCAAAATGAGGTTATGTTGTTTTTTTTGTTCTAAAATTCAAAAATAGGTACTGTAGTGGCCGTCCTACGGTAAAAAATTAATGCGGCATGGATATTTTCCACGCATGCCTTTCCATTTCATATACTAAGCTGCACTTCGCGTCACTTACTAACCAGCGATCTCCACACACTTAACTCCGGAAAATTTAACGAGATCCAAGCATTAACTTATGACGACCTGTCAGTAGCAGATTTGTTGAATGTCGATTTAAATCTTTTTTTTAGTTGCTTTGCAAGAAAACCTGATTTTCAACTTCAAAGCATAAAGATTAGACATTTCTTTATCAGAGAATTGATTAGTGGAAGATTTCAAAGTTAAGAAAAAAAATCAACTTGAAATCATGATAAAAGCTATTCTTAGACTTTGACTACCACAGTCATGAGAATCTATGGGTTTGGGAAAATTATTCAATGAAGAATGTTGAGAGAGTGCAGTCTTGAACATTAAAACAATTTAATCATCCCACATTCTATTGTTTTTAAAAAAATGTCTAAATGAAGTTTATGCAATAATAAGCCTGTGACTATCCAGTCAAAAAAAATCCTATTTGAATTGAGTCAAAAAAAATCCTATTTGAATTGCAAATGGATTTAGTGGGAACCCAGTTCGTTCAAATAATATTTAAGCGATCAACTATTTGAAAATTTTGAATGAAATGATTTGTTCGGCCTTGGGAACTACTATCATTGTTTTTGTGCTCCATAATTTGTAATAAATAGAAGTTTTTAATGCCCTCTTATGGACTTCTATCAATTATTTGTCCAGCATATTTGATCATTTTTGCTGGTCTTTTTTGTTTCCCAATTACCAAGGCATGGGCCAAAATAAAACACATTGCTGCAAAGGTTATCAAGAGATTTTTTATAACAAATTTATTAGACAACTGATCTATTCAATACTTTCATTGATTACCTCATCCAAATATTCAACAAAATTTTAATTTAGTTTCGAACAATGTCGCACTCCATTTACTGTCTTGCATTTACGATAGTGACAAATTCTGGCTTGAGAGATGCCCCGCCAACCAAAAAACCATCAATATCAGCCTGTGACCCCAATTCCTTGCAATTGGTGCCCGTTACAGAACCACCGTACTGAATTCTTATAGAATTAGCAACATCTTGACTGATATTTTTACCAATCCATTCCCTAAGGGCTTTATGTACCTCCTGGGCTTGCTGGGGAGTGGCGGTTTTCCCTGTACCAATGGCCCACACAGGCTCATAAGCAATGACAACATTAGACCTAAAAACAAATCATTTTAATTTTCATTAATTAATTAGTACTAATAACTGACCAGTCCTTAACTTTATTGGCAATAGCCTGTGTCTGTCTAAAAACAACTTCTTCAGTTTTGCCTGCTTCACGTTCTTGTAATGTTTCCCCAATACATGCGATAACTTTTAGGCCATTACTGAGAGCGAATGCTACTTTTTCTGCTATTAACTCATCTGATTCGCCAAAAATTTGCCGGCGCTCGGAATGCCCCAAAATAACCCAATTTACACCTATATCTTTTAGCATAATTGGAGATAATTCACCTAAGGCAGTAATAATTTCAGACACCTGGACATTTGTCTGCAAATGTTAATACCTGTAAAAGCTCCTTTGTCTGCTTTATAACAGTTCTGGGCAGCAACTTCAACATTTGCCGGCGAATTTGTTTTAACATAGTCCAAATATACAGCTGGTACACCAACAATCACTTCTGTATCAGGATTAAGGGGACCAGCTTTTAAGAAGCTCAAGATCTCATTGATTTGCTGTTTAGTACCATTCATTTTCCAGTTTCCGCCAACGACAAATTTTCGACCCATTGCTAGCCGCTGAAAAATTAATTTTAATAATTATTACCCCAAATTATCTCAAAAATGTACCTTCAGGTTTATAATATGGAAAAACAATTCAAAAAAATACTAACGCATTTGCACTCGTTAAGCGATTTTGAGGATTCCATTTTCTCGAATTTTATTAAAACAAAAAATTATTGAAAAATAATCTGCCAAAATTATGTAATTTAATTTTTTTTAGTTTCATAATTCAAAATCGCAGTTACCTAGGGTTGTCTTAAAAAACCCCTATAGGTTCGGTTCAAGTAGCTAACTGATAATTCATTCACGTACCTATTTTAAAAATGCAATAGAAATTAATCGGCTTTATTCTCAGCACTTAACGTACTCGCCCAACAGCAAATGAAAATTTGTGAAGCGTATTCACCTCTAATGACTGGGAAGGTCACGAGACCACGCCCACCTTTCTTCCTCTTTACAAAGTGATCGTATAATAAGAAAGAAAAGAAAACTTCTAAACACAAAAAGTACATTTATTGCTGCTATAATCCGTATATTAATTCATATACATGGGAAGCGCTTTCTCACGGTCGCAATCGTAATAAATACTTGTTAAAAAAAAGTCCTAATTGTATTAGTATATATTCCTGCAAGTACAGCTATATTGGACGAATGATTCCAGCTAATGATCCAACTTTTTGATTAGTAATTTACAAAGAAGAAGAAATAAAAACATTGACCTTATTAGAAGCTAACCTTAATGTTCTGTGCTTATTAGGTCTTCCATTCAGAATGACCATTAATAAAGAAATATTTGTTGATCTGCATGAAAAATACCAAAAAGTATTGAAACTTCTCTTAGAAGACAGCAAATATGATCCAGAAACCGAACCGTATTTATCAAAATATTCCGCTAAACAAATTTTAATAGGTATGAAGGCAAATATAGAAAATATTTTACGGAGTCAAACTCCAGGAACGCAGGATCACTTAAAGTTTACCGGTAAGAGTACCGAAACCCTTCACTGCAAATTTAATCCTACACACAATTTTCAGCCATGCTTGGATCTGTTTACTTATATTTGGGAACTGTGGCTATTGATACAGAAGAACTGTCTTTGGGAGAAAAACATTTGGAAAAGTGTAAGGAGGTTATTTGCTTATCTGAAGATGTTCCCCAAATGATATTAATTGCGCTGAATATGTACAACCAGTTTGGGATCCTTTGGTCAAAAAGTGATCCAGAGAAATCCAAATTTTACCTAGAAGTTGCTGAACAACTGTATAAAAATTTTAAAAACTCTGGAAACATACCCGTGGATATAGCTGACCTTTTTGAACCCAATCTAGCCACCTACCATGATAATTTGGCTATAATAAATTTTGAAAAGTTACATACTTTGACTTTATATTACTTGGCCCAGATTTTTGGTGTGCTAAAACAGACATTTAAAAGTGCAGTTTATTGCCACATCACATTAAAAAGGCAATTAGAAATGGATGATTATGAACCAATAGATTGGGCATTGAACTCTGCAACACTGTCACAATTTTTTATGGAGAAATGTGGTTTTAAACAAGCTCGTCATCATTTAGCAGCCAGTTTATATATACTTGATAAATATAAAGCAGATTTATTTTCGGGAACAGACCAGGGAGAGATTTTAGATTCTAAAATTGAAGTGTTTAATCATCGCAGTGCAGATGTGGCACGTTGTTGGGTCAAGTATGGAATATTTTTATTGAACAAGTCAAAAGAAAGATTGTTAGCACACACTGAGGATATTGACGAAAATTGCAAAATAACGTCAGACCTTGCAAAAATCGAGCTGACGGATGAAGCGCAAGTTTCAATAGATGATTTACAAAATTTGTCGTTTACATCTATTAGTGTTGACAAGTATGAAAATTGTATTTCAGATCAATTTGCATTAACGATTGCAGATGCCAAACGGATATTTGTTAATGCTCAAGAATGGATAGGAAAAGCACAAGAATATTATACTTTAGATACTCATGCCTCGGATTATATTGAGATCGTGTTGGATTTTACTCAGTTATATTTAAATTTGATTTTTTTTGAAGATAACTATGATAGCCAAGCAAAATTGCATAAGAGAAGGATAGATCTGTTAGAAACTCTTAGTGCTAACATCAACTCGCAATACTATATGCACTACTCTAGACAGATGTGGTTTGAGTTGGGTCGGACTTACTCGGATTTATTAGATATTAAAGCAGAAAAATTAAAAGAATGCAATGACCGACCAAAGCCCCAAGCTCTAAACAAAATAAATTCTCTTGTTGATAAAAGTATAAAATATTATAAACAATTTATAGATTCATTTAAGTTGGACATTACAAATTTGGAAAAAATTCCAGATGAAAATGAAAAGCCATTTTTACAAGCATACTTCCATGTTGCCGCACTTTTTGGAAGATACATTACCTTGGATAAACAGTTCCAATTGAAACACAATGAGCAACAATACGCCCATTACAAATATATAGCAGATTACTGTGAAAAACATTTGAAGGCACAAGAGCTTATTCCCATGGAACTTGGGATATGCAAAGATATGGTTACCCTGTTACCTATTAAGTTGCTGAGGCTTAAACAAACAGTTTCTTAATAATTATAGTATGTGTATTGTTATTACTATTTATTTTTTATTTGTAACTAAGAAGTTGTAATATAAGTATAATTTATTTTTATTACACCGCTAATTTTTGGTTGCTATGGTGCAATTAACTAGTCATTTAGTCCTTCATTTGTTTCTGGTATATAATAAATGCAAAATAAGCGTATAACATATTTTTTTATTTTTCACAAGCTCAAAGAAAAGCAATTTTGTCCTGCATTAAGGATACGCAAAATGCATGCCTTACTTTTTGATTATTTTTCCATACATTTTGTTTCGTTGATTGTATTCGTGTCATACTCTCGCTTGACGAAAATTCTTACTAGACCTAGCTTATATTTTATACATATAGTAATAAGCATATCGCTTTAATTGCTACGGATTTAATGTTTTTAGGCAGAATGCCAGGATCATTCGGCCACGGTAAAAATTTACCCCTCAAATGTTCTTCTTTTTCTGACGTGATGATCTGTTAAAGTAGCATGGACCAATAAGGGATTACGGAAAACCTTTCCAATTTCGTCGTTACCGAATTCCAGAGAGGCTATCTCGGAGGTCACATAATTACTTTTAATTTTAAAAGAGTGAAACACATTTGCAAAAAGCTTACAAATGTTTCCAAACTAGGGAATTTTGCCCAACCTTTAATTGAGTAAACAATAAAGAGGAGGAAAAACTTTTTGCATCAGAGAATTAACAAAAGTGTGACAGATCCTCGATTTTTGGTTTGTATATGTGTTAAATGTACATAAATATGGCCAAGTCGGATTTTCATTGAACATGTCACACAACCTTTAAAACAGAAATAATATCGCAATAAGTAAAATGTGGCACGAAGCAAGACGGCAGGAACGTAAAATTAGGGGCATGTTAGTAGATTATCGGAAAAGGGCAGAAAGACGTCGAGATTTTTATGAAAAAATTGTAAGAATTTTAAAATGAGAGTCTATTTTAATCTCAAAGAACCCATTTTTAAGAAAGCTGATCCAACACAATTCTTACAAGTTCACGGGAGACAATGCAAAATTCACTTGGATCCTGCTATAGCTTCTGCTGCGGACAGCGCTGTAATGTATGAAATAGCCATTAAGTACAAATGTGTAATTAAATGTCTTTTAATGATTTTTTAACTGAATTAATATATTAATATTCTTATCAATGTAATGCAGGATGCCTTGGCAGGGTCAGACTGATAATCTGATAGATCGTTTTGATGTAAGAGCTCATTTAGACCACATTCCACCCTTAAGGAAGGAAGAAGGCATGGAACTCACTCAAGAGGAGAGACACTTAAATTATGAGAGATATAGGATAGTTGCTCAAAATTCTTATTTGGGAATTTCGGAAGAAAAGTTTCTAAAGCAACTTCATTTGGAAGAACAGTTTGGTTATACAGAAACTAAAACGAAGAAGGAGTCAAAGGGCACTGGTGCTGCCATAGGGTTTAACTATGAGGAAGGCACAGGTAATCTTCTTACACAAAGTTTAACCGGTTTTTAAAAACCATAAACAATAGCCGTAGCAATGCCATCTCAGGATTCAGTTGATGATAATTCTGATGAGTACAATTCTGATAGTGATTTGGACGTCGATTTAGCTATAAATGTTTCCAAAATCGATTCCACGCAGGCTCATGAGATGAACAAACATGGTCGTAATTTTGGAATGGCCGGCAATGATTTCTACTCTTTCTTGACTAATGATCTGGAAGAAGCAGAGACGTTTCGGTTAGCTAAAGAAGAGGAACATGAGAAAGCCTTATTTTCTGGAAGAAAGTCCCGAAGAGAGAGAAGGTACTGTTTGTAAAATTGGTTGCTTTAAAACTAGTTGGTATAAAGTGCTTTAATATTGTAGAGCACATCGTGAAAAAAGATTAGCAAACAGAACTATCAGCCCACCTAGCTATGCAGCTAGGGATACAACAACACGCTTATCTCTTAGAGATGAGAGTAAATCTCCATCAAAATCCCCGTCACCTGATGCAGGCAAAATTACTTACATCACATCATTTGGTGGTATGGATATATTTAGTTAAAACTAGCTTGAACTTGAACTTTTCTCTTTTAGATGATGAAGAAGCTCCCTCAAGCAGCAGAACCACAACTTATGCGGATAAAGTAAAATATGGCAAATCGAGAAAGCAGGAACTAAGTGCTGGTAGACCCGGGTATTATAATAGAAGATCCGGCAGTAGGGAAGTGTCTTATAAAAGAAGAAGGAAGTCAAGAAGTTGGTCAAGAACCAGAAGAAGTTGGTTCGGTAGGAATAGAAGCGGGTCTCGTTCTAGAAATGGTAGGTTCAAGTCTAGAAGAAGCATATCTAAGACCAGAAGAAGCCGATCAAGGTCAAGGAGAAGCAGGTCTAAGAGTTATTCAAGATCGAGATTCACAAGAAGTAGATCCATTGGTAGAAAGAGCAGAAGCAGATCCAATGATGGGTATTACTTGGTATAGAGGTGTATTTAACTTTTATTATAAACTACTACTTGTCAGGTCTTTGCACTCAACATCATCGGCTTCCTCATCTTCAGACTCCAGCAAATCAAAATCGTCATCCAGATCCCTATCAAAAAATAGTAACAGAAGCCCGAATAAAAGTCCCTCAGTGAAAAAGGAAATATCGCCCCCTGCACCACCACGTATAATGCCAAGGTATTACGGTCGTAAAAGAAGCGATCAAAGTTCATCGGAATCAGACAATTCAGAGGAAGAGAAAATGGATGTTGATTTGGCCGATAATATGTATACATAGTATATTTTAGCAATGTTTGGCGTTTATGTTTACTATTCTAGGGCCTCTGGTGACTCTAAGTTTGGACATGGTAATAATTCAGGCACTGAGATCAAAGTCAGTAAGAACTTCATCGACATTGAGTTTGTTTTATAAAATGTCTTTTTAATAATAGTGAAATACTAAGATGTGTTCCCTATGGATTTATATTGTTTCATCTTTTTTTTTTAGAAAACCTCAAATTTGTCCGTTATGGAACGACTTAGAAGAAAGAGACAAGCATTGATTAATAAGCAATGTAATTATTGAATCCAGAACTCTATCTAACGTTATTCAAAATGTTTTTCTTTCAGTTAAAAAAGACAAAATTGCAGAAGAGCTCAAAGCGGAACGCGAAAAACAGGAACAACAAACCAGGGAAGACGAACTTAGAGAAATGGCGATAAAATTAAGGAAGCGGTAAGTCAATTTGTCACATTTAATAAGATTGAAAGCAGTATTGTTTAGCCAACGAGAGAAGCGTCATGCTTATGATAGCAATAGAAGTTCGGATTCCTCTGATTCTGATAAGAGTAACAGCTCCAAGCACCGTGACAAAAGTGAGTCCCCCAAAAATAGAGAAAAGGATTTGAGAAAGTATGATAAAGAGAATAGCAGAGGACTTAAGGATAGAAGTCGCAGCAAAGAAAGGAGTAGGAGGACTAGTAATGACAGGGATAGGAGATCATCTTCCAGAAATAGAAGGCAGAGAGAGAAGGAAGGAAGGCGGGAAAGAAGCAGAGAACGAGAAAGAAAATTAGTGGATTATTAATATGTTATGAATCATAGGTTATTTTTCATTGTTATAATTGTGAGCATTTTAAAAAATTTCAAACAATTGGAGAAAAATCAAATTTTGGATAATCTTTTATTAAATCACAAACCTAAAGATATTATGTATTAAAATAAAATCCTTAAAATAATATTGTTATGATTGCTTAATGATTATTTACAAAAATTCTTCGCACCAATCATTTAAACACTGCCAACAATCCGTGGACTTCTTGGAATCTGCAGAACAAGTGTCTTTCATCCATTCTTTAAATAACTCTTGATTTTTCTTTAACACAAGAAATTGGCCAAGTACAACGTACGCCTAAAACACAGTTCCGTATCAGTACAAAGGATTGAAAATTTTTCTCAAATAAAAAATTTTGACTAACCTTATCAAATCCCGCTTGCACCAAACGATTGCCTAAAACTTCGCCCACACCGGCCAACTCGGTAACCGGCTTATCCCCCATGGGTTCGGCGACAAAATTGCGATGCTTTTGCGAGGTACTCGACATAATTAAAAAAAAAAAGTTTACAAATTGCAAACAAATTAACAAATTACTTTTATTTCATTAGCCGGTTCAAGAAACAAGGACGTCAAAAATCACATTGTGACCAACATTTCAAATGCATGTAGTGTTGCCAATATCGAGAAGCTAAAAAAATTTTTGATGATGTCATGGGACATATGTCGCTTTCTGCAAAATGTTAAATACGCGAATCGTCCCGGGAGGAGAAACTGCATTAATATTTCTGGAACTGACATAATATTTTTTTCGGGCTTTTTCTATCAGACTAGCATAGATAAATTTGGTTTGTTACGTGCTACGTCTTTTTCCGAATAGAGATGGATTGATAGAAACGCTAGGCGCAAGAGCGAGAAGGGTGTTCCAGATGTTAATGGATGGTTGGGAAGAGTTCGGATCAGATTTTCCTTTAGATTTTATACGTTTATCCCTATTTATAAATTGAAATCAACTTATCGATTCATAAAATAAGTTCGTACGGTGCAAATGCGGTCGTGTGTGTTTTAAGTGTTCGAATGCATGATTAGGCTAGAATACCATCCATAGGCAAGCTAAAATGGCGATTTAAGAAGGACTGTTGTATGTGCAAAAGTATTTTTACTACAAAGCTACAATAATGGAAGATACTTCGCTTAATCAGAATGGAGGGCAAATGAGTTCCCAAGCAGCAAATTCGACAAACAACAAGCAAATTGAAGAAGCCGCTCAAAAAACCCATTACTCTATTCCAGGTATATTGCATTTTATTCAACACGAATGGGCGAGATTCGAATTGGAACGAACCCAATGGGAAGTGGACAGAGCGGAACTCCAAGTAAGTTTTTTTTCCTTAATAAATTATCCAATCCTATTGAAAATATAAAAAGATCAGAATTTATTTTTATGTAAATATTCTTTTGCCTCAATTCTTCAAGAAACTTATTTCTTACTGCATTTTATACATCTTGGTAGATAGTATAATAATAGTATTTAGTTTATAAAAAGCTTCCAAATTTATTGTGGTTACTAGACTAATTTTATGAAATGTATTTGATGGCCATTGTAGATATTTTCTTTACTCACATATTGCACAGTATTTTGTTTGTGATATTATCTACTTAAAGTAAAAAAAAAATCGGTGTTATTGTGTATCGCAAGTGTTCTTGCTTTCGTTATTATGTATGTTGAAAAGTAAGACCCATTGAAAAGTCAGAGTCAGTCAGTGGTACCAGTGTTTTCTAGTATTATTTCTACCTTTTTTTTTTCAAGATAAATATAGTTTTGGTTGGTTGGTATCTAGTTATTTGAGGACATGAGGTGGCCATGGTAAGAATGGTGAATTTTTGTACATTCTGTTTTATTTTTATGGTTTGTTAAAAAGTTTCAAGCCGCATAAATTAAGATATGCAGCATTTATTACTAAGATCAAACTGTTATTATGCCATCAGAAAGCGTTCGCTTTGATAAACAAATGATTATACTCCACCAGAGCCACTTTCTACTTTTGTATTTTAACCATATGATTAAATGTTGAGAAATATTTAATAAAACCTATCTACATTTTATTAGCAGTTATCGCTTCAGTAATTCTGTAAAAGTTTTCACCATGTAATGCATTGTTTTTGTTATGCTAGGCTAGGATTGCGTTCTTACAAGGGGAGAGAAAAGGCCAAGAAAATTTGAAAAATGACTTGGTGCGTCGTATAAAAATGCTGGAATATGCTTTGAAACAAGAAAGGGCAAAGTTTCACAAGTTGAAATACGGTACCGAGCTGCAACAAGGTGATATGAAGCCTCCAATAATTGAGGAAAGTGGAGAATCTCAATTAGACATTGAGCAGAGCTACGTATCAGTGTCCAATTCAACTTGGAAGCAAGGCAGGCAGTTGCTCAGGCAGTATTTGCAGGAAATTGGGTATACTGACAGAATAATTGATGTCAGATCTACACGGGTTAGAGCATTACTGGGCTTAAACAACAATAATCCAGAACAGGAGGAGAGTCATAATGGCGGACCAGTAAATGGTAATGAATCTAATAAGAGGGCCAGTGAAACACAGGGTAAGTGTTAATTTGTTTATCTTTTTGCATTTTGCTCTCTATTGGAAGTGTTGTCAAATTTGATGGTGGTTTTTTGGTCTGACATTTTTTGATACTCATGGTTAGTTAATAAAAAAAATGTATTTTTTTTTGTGTGAATACGAATTTCACTGTCACCATTACGGACAAATTTTTGTGTCTCTGCTTTGAGGACTGTGCAAAAAAGTGGTTGCCTTGTTAATGACGAAAACAGCTGTATATGGTTTTATTTTGCTTTGGAAGCTAGAAGGTTTTTTTAAAATTATTAAATGTAAGGGAGAAGAACTCCAGCCAAAAAGTCACAGCCGAGTTCTCTAGCGGAGGCAATGATGCTAGATACTGAGGCCGCAGTGATGGCAAACCTGGAATTTCTGTCCAATACTGATGTTGACATGGAAGACGATGACGATATGAGCGACGAAGGAGACATAGATCCATCCGCTGATATGGAAGATGAAGTAAAACAGAATAAGAAAGGTACATGCGCGGTGTTGCCTTTTTATATTTTTATTTATTTATTTATTTATTTATTTACAAAAGCATGCGTTAACGATGAGGCTGATGAATAACATTTATGTCTAATTTACTGTGTATACAAATTATATTAAAAAAATCTTCAATGATATCACAAAAAGAAACAGTATATACCACTCTGTTGGACAGGAATTTTTTTCTCTGCAGTTTGGCAGTCTTTGATTAATTTTTTGGAGTAGATGGATTTTCGGGCCATTTAATATAATAAGAATAATGAGAAATATATGTAAATGAGTAATAGTTTTGTATCATCTTATAAGTCCCAATTAGATCGCCATGTAATCTTCTTTCTTTCAAGGTCGGGTAATTCAGCTTTACAAGTCTTTCCTCATAGGAATTCTTCTTTGCACGCTCTCAAGCATTTCAATGTGTTTAATAAAGTAGAGGTCCCATATTGTCTGACCATATAAAGACTTATAAAGTTTTACTATGGCGTCAAAGAATTTACCTTTTTACTTTTGAAATACAGTCGAAACTCTATATAGCAAAATTGAAGGGACTGCGTTTTTTTTTTCGTTTTAAAGAGTTATAGGCACTTGAAAAATAACAATATGTGTTCTGTAATATTTAATTATTTTATATACCTATTTTAACATCTACTTAGGAACATTTTATATAAATATTTAAGAACTACATTTAATGTTTCAAATAATTGGTTATTTTCTTTTGAATTTTTTAAGTATGCCAATACGCATCTCCTCGTATTTTTGCTTGTATTTTCACCATTCCTTTGAGAGGGGCATCTTTCCCATGATGCATAAAAAATTTCTCTAGCAGCTTAACTGAATACAGGGCTTGTTGAGTGGTTGGTGCTGGTCCCAGATCAATTTCTTCATCTTCTTCTTCCTCTTGGTGCTCTTCCTCACCCTTTCTTGCTTGTTGTAATATAATTCCTCTGTCAAGTCTGCTGTTGTAGGCAAATCCTGATCTATCACTATAAAATCTTGCAACTCCTCACTTGTAAACGTAATTGTTGTTTGAAACTCCTTTATCCACTCGCTTAGTGGCTGATCATCTTCCAAGTCCTGTTAGCATTCTGTCTCTGTAATAAGTCCTGCATGACGATAGGAGTGTTGAATTGTTTCTGCTCTCACCTCTTTCGAAGCTTTACTAATAAAGTTGACTGCATCTAGCATATTAATGGAAAATTTGTCTTCGGACTTGATCATTTCCATTAAAATGTTTTTCCTGTATCGACTCTTAAGGCTATTAGCACTGGTCCATTGGCTGTAATACACTTGTTGTTTTGGAAGAAATGCCAATTCAATATTCGGTAGATTTGGTATATGGGAATGTGCAGGGCAGTTATCTAAAAGAAGTAATATTTTCCTCCTCTTTAATTCTGGATCCCATTTCCGTATCTCCTCTTCAAAAATTTGCGATGTCATCCATACTTTTTTGCCTTGTAGGTGACCGATGCTTGATGTTCTTAAAACATCGTGGGTTAGTTGATTTTCCAATCACGACTAGCTTCCTTTTTTCTCTCCCACTCATATTGGCAGCTACTAACACTGTTATACGTTCTTTAGAAAGTTTTCCACCCACACACGTTTCGCTTCGAAATTTAAGAGTTTTATCTGTTGTCATATTGTAAAAAATACCAGTTTGCTGTCATCAGCGGGGTACTTTTTTGCTAGTTTTGCCAACGTCTTCTTCAGCCAATCGTTAGTGACGTTCCTGTCGACATCACGGGCTTCGTCACTTATCTGTCCATAATTTATACCATGTCTATGTTTGAACTTCCCCAACCATCCTTCCGAAGCGTTGAAATACATAATGCCAAGCTGTTCAGCACACTTTTCTGCTTTTATTTTTACGATAAGTTCAGAGAGTGGTACATTTTTAAGATTCAAATCTTCAAATTTTGGCTTTATTAGTTTTTTACTAGAACTGCCTGCCGCTTCAGCCTGATTGATTTTTTCTTTGCACTTTCAAATCGTGGATACAGTCGACGGTGTAAGTCCGTATCAACGTCCCACATCACTTTTCTTTTCTCCCTGTTCTATCTCCCGAATTAAAGCAACTTTATTTTCTAGAGATAACATTTTTCGCTTACTCGCCATGCTCGACGCATTCACTAAGTCAAATTAGAACTGATTGAAATAATGGTGTTCTTTTATTTTTAAGACGACCAGGTTCTCGGTAATTAGATTATTAGGGTAAGGAATTCTGTGTAGAGATTGAGAAATTGGTTATACAGAGTGGATTAATACATAGCTTTGTATGGAGACCTAATAGTACAACAAATTTTGTTGGTAATACAGAGTTTTACGTTATACAGAGTTTAGCTATAGAGAGTGTCTCCCATTTCAATTTGGAAGTTGTCATAATTCCAAGGTCTTTCCGCTCTTCTACATGTTTTAAGTTCTTTTTGTTGAGGGTATATAATAATAATTTTTATATTATTATTTATTTATTTTATTTATTATTATATTATATTTATATATCTATAAACAATAAGAAATAAAATAGTATGAGATAAGAGGGTTGATTGTATCACTGTAAAAGAGAGGTCATAAAAATACATTCATACACATTTTAACAAAAAAAAAAAAGAAAACTTAAATCCGTTTTTATAGTTAGTCGCTTCAGTGGAAAGGAGGTCCTGCAAGGGCGCACAGAAATAAGCAAAATAAAAAGGAAAAAAAAGGATTAATTGGATAGTAGATAAGTTTAGTTTAAGTTATGATTAGTTGGATTTTTTCCAGAAGGCGAGGACGTGGACGCCTTGGCATTGGAAGTTTTCAATGAATTGAATCGGCTCTCGGAAGCCGAAAAGAAACAAGAACACAAGAACGAACCGACCGATTGGAACAAAAGTAAACTTAGGATAAAATTGTCCCTTAACAAAAAAAACGACTTTGTTATTTTAGCCCAAGTTCCTAAACGGCCTTTAGGTCTGAGCGAAGAAGATCACATAGACTCCGCATTGGGTTTAGGTGAATTGGCTCAGTTGACGGTCAACAACGACGCCGAAAACAGTTACGACATCGCGAGCAGCAAAGAAGCCTTCCGGAAGACGTGGATCGCGAAATATACCCTCCGCAGTCATTTCGACTCTGTGAGGGCCTTGGCCTTCCACCCCACTGAACCCGTATTAATTACGGCCAGCGAGGATCACACTTTGAAATTGTGGAATTTGCAGAAAACCGTTCAAGCGAAGAAGAGTGCCAGTTTAGACGTGGAACCTTTGTACACCTTCAGAAGTCACGCAGGTTCGTCACGACATGGATGCGATAAATTTTATATTTTCGATGTTTTCACATATTACAGGACCTGTACTCTGCCTTGCTATATCGGGAACAGGGGAACATTGCTATTCCGGAGGTTTAGATGGGGCGATCAACTGTTGGAACATACCGAACTCAAATATCGATCCTTATGATTTGTTCGAACCTGATATATTAAACACAACCCTGAATGGTCATTCGGATGGCGTGTGGGGTTTAGCTGTGCTGAATTCGAGGCAGCAAGTGGTGTCCTGTGCCGCCGATGGAACCGTAAAGCTGTGGGCTCCACATAGCAAGGTGGGAATTTATTCGCTTCTTAATCTCAGTATATTGACCATTCAAATCTTATCTTTTCATATTGGTAACTTCGGGGAAAAGCACTTCACATTATAACCCCGGTAATTTGTGAAAATAGAATAAATAAACAGTTGCTCACTACCGAAGACTATAATAATATTAACAGTTCAAGTTTGGGCTGGATGACACCATATTTTCGGTGAACCTGAAATTTGAATCCTCTGTAATAGTTCTGTGTAGTTTTCTGCGATGTGAATTGCAAAATGGTGGACGCGTTTTAGTAAAAAATCGAATAAGGGAACGAAGTAGCATATGTCAAAAATGCTATATTAAACCACCTTAACTTATTACGTCTTGATCTGCAAATGGGTCAACTTAAGATAATAGTGGCCTGTATTGATAGATCGGACTCGATCACAACCTAGCAAGTAAATAGAAGGATGATCAGCACGCATTTACTACCAGAAATTCAAACGTATATTGGGATAACCTATTGGTGTACCCAGCCGATAAAAAAACGCAGACCTTTAGAAACCTTCAGAAAATAATATGCACCAAATAATCAATGTTCCTACCCGATATAGAAGCACTCAAAGCTCTCTTTTGGACTTATTTTTGTGCAAAGATGTCGAAAGCGTCGGACAAATACGGGAATAACAAGATTGATTTCGAAAAATCGCCGGTGGGCGGGGCAAGTTCGTCGCATGTATCGCGGATCATCTTTTTATTTCACGTATTATTGACAAAACCTGAAACTCTTTCTCAAATTCAATCAAATCAAATTATCGCATCTCTCTAGTTTTTCATTTATCCCCAATAATTTACCCACAAAAATGGAAATTTTATGGAACTTGAAGATTTTCTGAACATAATCTACACACCCTGTATATAATTCAAACAATGTTAGAAATAGAGGTTATAGCTCTAGATCTCCCACGTTTCCTGGTATATGTATATTTTTTTGAATGGAGTAAGTGGTTTTCAAGAAAATACGTTTTCTGAAACCATGGTAATAGTAAATGACGTCATCGGATTTTTTTGGATTTTCACAGCGTGTGTGAAAGACAAAAACCGTAAATACAAAAATTGCAGCTTTTCGATGTGGCCTATAACACTGTTTTAAACCAATTGACTATATTTTTCACGAATTTTGAAAATTCGATTTCATCGGTTTTTCGAAAGTAAAGTAAAGAGCGTATATTTCCGCAAAAAATGAATTTCATTAATTTGGCGAAAGTAACAAGATTGCTTTCGAAAAATCGTCGCTGGGCGGGGCAAGTTCGTTGCGAGTAGCGCGAAGCAGCTTTTTGTTTCCAAAAGAAGTCGCTTCTCAGTTTCTTGTCTTAGGGGAACGCATTGTTTTTCTATCGTGCTCCTGCGGACCACTATGAAACTTTCGCAAAATCGATGTGATTTTATTGTGCATATACCCTGTATAAAATAAATGTCTTTCAAATCACGCCGAACTTCAAAGTTACTGCAAACTTTGTTAAATATTAAAATTTGTCCAATGACATTTTTTCAAATATCTCGCGCCTCCTGCATAATTGACGAAACCTGAAACTCTCTCAACACAGTTTAGTATACTGTTCAAATCGAATTGACGCATCTTTCTACTTTTTCATTCATCGCCAATAATTTACACACAAAAACGGAAAGTTTTAGTATGTTTTAGATTTTTTGTTATAGCCCTGGATCTCCCACATTTGCAGTTATATGATTTTTTCCAATAGAGTACGTCGTACGTAGAGACGTCATCGCGTCTAGATTGAGGGCGAGAAACTGTGATTTTCATTTGAATTTTTTCAAATATCTCGAATAGCGTATGTGATGACAAAAACCGTGAACACAACAATTGTAGCTCTCAATGTGACCTGTAAAACACTGTTTAAACCAATTGGCCGTATTTTTCACGAATTTTGATTTACGGCTAATAACCATTTTCTGAGTCTTTTAGATTTCTGTCTATAATTGAAAAACCCTGCATATATTGGAAAAAGTGCCTGAAATAAAAGTTATAGTCCCGGATCTCCCGGATTTTCTGGTTCACAAATCCTGCCGATCGGGTTAACAGTTTTGGAGAAAATATTTTGAATTTTTTTTTTTTTAATTTTTAAAAAATACTTTGCGAGATTTGAGCAAGTCCTTTTTTGCATTTGAAATGCGGGTGTGTACTTCTACCTTTCTGCCAAATCTGAAGTCGATAGATGCAAATTTAAGGACATCTGTTAATTTTTGAATATAGCACTTAATATATTAAGTGCTATATTCCAGTTTTTTTTTGAATTTGCGACGTACCCTGTACATTTTTTTTTCAGGAAAAAGCCGAATCTTCTGCGTCTTCTCGTTTAAGAATTTTTTCAGTCGCATAAACCGTTTTAGAGAAATGATTTTTTTCTTAGACCCTTGCAAACGCGATTTTTTTTTTAAATACTTCCCGACCCCCCAGCCTCCTCAAATTCAATACGTTCTGGTTGGGAACCCAGCTTCCAAAAATGCCAAAAATGGAGTAGATAGCTTCAACTTTCGAACACTTATCGTGTTTCATAGCAATATTCAAAAAACGGTCGAAAATCGAAAAAAAAAAAAGATGACCACCTAGTGGACGGTAAAAAAGGAGCAAAAATTGAGCCGCCTAGTTCAAACGGCTCAAGAGTTATTGAATTAAAACTCGTGACAAAGAGAACGGAGAAACAGAAAAAAATAAAAATAGTTTTTTCGATGCCGATTCCTTTTGTACCAATGGCGATGCTGTACGGCGCACCGTTACTAGTAGTAGCACGATTGCGTTCGCAATCTTGTCGCTGCGCGACGCGACTGCCTTCAAATTTAAGGCGGTCCTTAAACGTTTCAAATTAAAATGTCAAGTTTCTACAAATATTCGTTACATCATTGCAGAATAAACATCTGTTGGGATGGGTTTTACCGCGGCCCTGCGAAGGTCTGCGGTTAAGGTACTGTAAAAGCAATAAATGCGCTATATTTTTGGTTATAACTTATTATAAATGTTTTTGTTTTTGTCACTCGACGGGTTTGTACCAAATTCAATTAATTTCTTAGTTTCGTTCTTTTTTGTTTCTGTTTCGTTTAGAAATATTTTTACTCTTTTGAATTAAGATAAATGTAATTATCCTCAGTGTGCCTTTGTAAATTGTGACGTGGTCCGTCATGTTGGGGTACCTTTTTATATACATTAAAAAAAAGAATTTTTCGATTTCTGGTTACAGGTTCAACTGCTGAACACGTTCGTTTCGGAGCAAGACGGAAACCCGTCTAGTGTGGATTTCGTGCGCGACGAACCGAATCGAATAGTCGCTTCTTACACGTCCTCCCATTGCGTCATATTCGACGCGGAAACCAGCAAACCGGTCCTCCGATTGGAATCTTCCGCGCAGGACGGCGTCAACATCAACGCCAGGTACATAAACAAAATCGTTTCGCATCCGACGCTGCCCCTGACAATAACGGCTCACGAAGACAGACACATCCGGTTCTGGGACAATCACACCGGCAAGATGGTACACTCGATGGTGGCCCATCTGGATGCTGTGACGAGTTTGGCTGTCGACCCGAACGGGCTGTACATTTTGTCCGGTGAGTCTGTTGCGTTGTTGGTTACCTTTTTTTGTAGCGCGCGAGGGATAAGGGATTTATTTTATTTTTTATTTATAAATAATATAATTACATAATTCAAACAAATTGCGCCCCTGGGATCCCAATTTTATGTCAACATTTTTTATGGAGCGTCGACAGAGAACAGAGAACGGCCAGACATTGAAAACAAACAATTTTTTTTCTATGTTTATCATCCCGTAGCCGAGATATAAGTTTGGTTGGCAAGCGCGTATACTTTTGAAAAATTCGATTTTATCGATTTTTGCGAAAGTAGTAAGATTGCTTTCGCAATCTTGTCGCTGCGCGAGGCGACTGCTTCTATATTTTGACACAGATAGGAAAAAAAGTGTAAATACGAAAGTTTGAAGATTTTTGCTCTATTAACTTCTGCAAATGTCAATCTTACGCAACATCATTTTTTTAAAAAATGGAATGCTCTGTATATTAGTAGCTTAAATTGAAGATCCTTTTTTCCTTATTTCAAAAACATGTAGTTTATTGACATTTGGGTTAGCCGTTTTTGAGATATTTCAGTTTGTAAAATAATTATCATTCGATTTCTGGACAATAGCCATATTGTTTAAAAATGGTCAAGTTTGCCTTGATAGCAACCATATTATCTGTTTTTCGCAATTGTTTTAACATTGTTGTACTGTTGACAACTAATGAAAACTAAAGTTCTCCAGCGTAAGTTAAATAACTTAAGATATTTCAAATGGAGGAAGGAAAACCCAAAATAAAATTATATTATTTAAACATTAAAAATATCTATTGTTAATGCTAAACATTTTCCACATAACCTCCATTATTTTCTATTTCCTATTAATGCACGAGGTGGTAAAATCAGCGTTTTCTCTGTTTAGACTTTGTAAAACGATATCTTATCACTTGTAACTTTCAGGCCTATTATAATAAATTTTATTTTTTAAGTATCCTCTCAAAAAAGTGTCACAAGGATTCAGGTCGGTGCGTTTGCTATTTAGTTTGTTATTTAGATAATCGGTAACCGATTTTACATTATGTGAACGTGCGTCATCTTGATGCCAAATTAAGTTTAAATAATTCCTAACTGGCATATTTTCTAACAAATTAACTGACACCTGTCCTTGGATTTTGTGTGGATTGTTAGTGCACCAAAATTTTTTATTCTTCCTATTAAATACACCTGCTGTTGGGATGAGATGAGATGAGATTGAGATCTTCTATACATTTCAGTGCAAAATTCGAGCCTGTGTCTTTTATGTTCATCGGTTAAATTTTGCACTGAAAGGAACTTATACGGGTGAAACTTATGATTTTAGCGTTCGTTGAATTTTACTACAAGGCTCCGAATAATTTTCCGCGTCAAGTATAGAATATTCAGGTTTTTCTAAAAAATATGAAATATGAAAATTAAAAAAGTAGAACTCAAAAACTTGAAAGTAAAATAGTATATTGAGGTCTTCATTAAAATTTCTTTCTATTGTCCTGGTCTTCCGTGTGTTGTTTAATTACATTTTTAATTGTATTTAATGCAGGAACTCTTCTACCCGAATATATTTGTCGATATTCTCTTTTAACCCTTGCAACATTATGTCCATTTGAATAATGTAATCTTTTTATTTGGCGTTTTTCTTCCTCAGTATAACCCATTTCAAATATCTTAAGTTATTTGACTTACGCTGCAGATCTTTAATTTTGATTAGTTGTCAAAAGTAGAACATTGTTAAAGCAATTGCAAACATAGATAATATGGATGGTTACCATCAAGGCAGAATTGACAATTTTTAAACAATATGGCTATTGTCCAGAAATCGAATGATAATAATTTTTAGACTGAAATATGTTAAAAACGGCTAAATGAAATATCAATAAATTATTTGTACCATTTGTACAGAGCGTTGCAGGAAATCACCCACAAATAAAAGTTTTATATTTTTTTCATGGAAACACTCTTTATGTCCTACATTTGACAATTGGCCGAAATAATATTCAAAATACAATGAAATGTATATTTTTTTATTTATATTTATTATATTTATGCTTATTTATATTATGCGTTACGTAAATCTGGTCGGATATATCTTGAAGAGAGAAAAAACGTTGTAAAATTAAAAAATTTCTAACAATTTGATCAAAATTAAATTTGATTTTGTTAATTAATCAATAAGACGCTCTATGATTCTATAATGATTTGATTCTGTCATAAATCAATAAGACGTTATATGATCCTATAATGTATTCTTGAAACTAACGTGTGCAGGATAATTTGTATTACTTATTATTATTAAAAAAACATTGTCTGGATTTGGATTGAAAAGGAAACCATTCATATGATAATTGACAGATAATAAAATAAGCATCGCGAAATATTGTTGTAAATATTTAAAATAACAATTTAAACGTTTTATAGATTTAAAACAGAGAAGCCATCATTATAAATTGTAAGGAAAGTGCTTTTTTCTATTAACGCTATGCCTAGACTGGACGGTCCAGTTTTTTAGTTTCGAGCAATGTAATATTAATGTTTATATTGGAATTAAATTTACCCTGATATTGAATTAATAATAACACTCTTAAAATAAAACCAACAGATTTTTTTCTTTCATACCTTCATCATTTTAACCAATACATTTATCATTCTCGCACACTCTTTTGTTAAATAAGATATAAAGTGTTCATTTAAGCCTAGTTAACCCATATTATCCCAAGCATAAAAAAATAAAAAAATACCATTTTGCTCTGAAATTATTTATTTTGTTGCGCTTAAGAATACATTACATGTATCAAAAAAAAAAAAAAAAACTCGAAACATACAAAAAAATACTGGTGCGTAAACGAACCACTGGGAAAAAACATTTAATAATGTTTTGGGGCACATAAGATGTAACATATAATTTATACATAAATATACAAAAGAAAGTTCAAATTCGACAGGACGCAACTAAAAGTAGCTTGTTTTCCAAATAGAACCTGATTTGATACAAAAAAACGCGTAATATTTTATGGTGCTGGTAACACTCGGTTTCATTTTTTGTGACATTTTACAAAGCATGAAGTATGTAAATGCACAATTACACTTATTACAAACGTAAATTGTGTGGCTTCGGGCTTTAGTAGCGTGAATAATCATGAGGTGATCTTGATTATCATAACGCATATATGGCAGGTGCAAGATTTCTTTGAGTAATTGTTTTATGAGTTTTTAAAAGTCGCAAAGCAATGTAAGATTTAAAATCAAATTAATCACTTCGTCATCAAAAATTTTTTTAATTCCTCACATGATCTAAATTCATCGTATATAGGTGTGTTAGTGTACTCAATCTGACCTTTATTCCATTTGACAGTAGAAGCAAGCCTGTCGTTTGTAGAAAGCATACGTCTCCTTTTGAATTCCAAGGTTTCATCATCTGATGAATCCCATTCAGGTTCAGTAGTTCATGAATTACAGGACTGTTGTATCATTCGGTGTATCTAACTCGAAAGTTCCAACTATATCATTTGGTTCACCAAACTCTTGTAGATTTATGTTGGCATTGGTATTGGTATTGGTATTAAAGGGGGGCGACCTCGCGGGCGACCATGCACTTAGGCCACCAGATGGGCCCGTTGTGCCCCCAGGCCGCTCTAGAGGGCGTCCAGAATGCCGCTCCTCCTATAGAAGGTCAGCAACTCCTTTAGCCCAATACCGTGCACTGAGTCCGGATCGATCAAGGCGGTTACGAAGACTCCCAATCTTGCCCATGTCAAGGCAGGGCACTCGGTGAGCAGATGATACGGGGTCTCCTCCCCTTCCATGCACCACCTACACTTCGGGTCGTCTCCAATGCCTAGCAAGCAAAGATGCCTCCTAAGCCTGCAATGTCCTGTGTAGGTCCCTGTTAGTGCTCTACACTCCCTTCTGGTCAGTCTAAGCAGCTCCCTGGTCCGAGGAAGGGCGGGCCCATCCATCATAAGCCTCGTCTGCCTCATTCCCGGAGCAACTCTCCAGCCCCCCGCGGTCCGGTCTCTCGCCCAGGCTTCGAGAGCTCCGCGCCTCACACACGGGGCGATCCCCAAGCGGGGCTCTGGCCCTATATGCCTATGCGAGGAGCCCTCTCTGGCTAAGGCGTCTGCTGCCTCATTGCCCCGGACACCGGTGTGACCCGGGACCCAGACCAACGTGACCCTTCTTTCCTCAGCCACCCTCCTCAGTACCCCTTTGCACTCCTTTATCAACAAGGAGCGCGTACGCACTGACTTCAGCGCCATGAATGCAGCCCTACTGTCCGAGTAGAAGAAGACTCTCCTGCTTCCGTGGTTGAGCCGAAGCACCTCTCTTGCCGCCATCAATAAAGCGAAAATTTCCGCCTGAAACACAGTGCAGTACTGACCCAGAGGGACCGACAAGCTCGATCCCGTTGTCTCGCAGTACGCTCCAGCTCTGGCCAGATCTCCCATTCTGGACCCGTCCGTGTACCAGACAAGTCCATCCCAGGAGCCGACCCTGCCCTCTCTCCAATCTTCCCTTGATGGACAGAGAAAGGTCAATTTGTCAAAGAAGGTCATCTCGGGGATCATGACGTCACTCGGCATGCCCATGACCCCGCGACAGCTCTCTAAAATGTCGTACGGACCCCGATTGAAGGTTCCCTCCCTCCAGAGCCCGCAGCTCGCCAGCCTCACAGCTGTCCTGGCCGCCTCCATCTGCACCCGAGCCGCCAGAGATGGCAACCCCACCAGAGCCTCTGGGGCCCTCGTGGGCGCCGTTCTCATGGCGCCCGTTATGCAGAGGCAAGCCAATCTCTGCAGTGTGTCAAGAACTAGCCTTGCTCCCGCTCTTTTGGTCCCCGGCCACCATGCCACTGCCCCATGCGTGATCATAGGCTCCACCATGGTACCGTAGATCCACTGCATGATCTTCGGCCCCAGGCCCCAAGTGCCCCCTACCGCTCTCCGGCACGCCCACAGAGCTCCAAAGGCCGACCTGGTCCTTGACCTTATGTGTTCCTGGAAGGTCAACTTAGAGTCCAACCATACGCCCAAGTACTTGACACTTCCGCTTGCAGAAAGAGGCACCCCATCCATCGATATGTTGAGGTTGCACTCCATCTTCCTTTTTCTAGTGAAGATGACCATCTCCACCTTGCCAGGATTGACAGCCAACTTGCTGTCGAGGCACCATTGTGAGAATCTTGCCAATGCCCCGTTCAGGAGCCCCTGCATCCTCCTCACATCCGTCCCTTGTGTCATTATCACAAGGTCGTCTGCATATGCCTGAGCATAGACCCCGTGTTCTTCCCTCAGAATATGCAATATCTCGTTCACCACTAGGCGGGGTCTTGTCCCCGTTCCTGTGGACAACCCCGTGATGAACCGATGGAGACCTGCTCCCCACCCAGTCTTGCCTCGACCCTCCGGTCGGTTAGCATGGAGCGGATCCACCTTACAATGGCCGTCCCCACTCCAGTACTCTCCACCGCCCTGCAGATCGAGTTGCAGGGCCGTGTTATTGAATGCCCCTTTGATGACAGCGAACACGCACACCGACAGCCGTCCCGAGCCCATACCAATCATCTGATGAGTCCCATTCAGGTTCAGTAGTTGATGAATTGCAGGACTGTTGAAGGACAGCTGTATCATTCGGTGTATCTAACTCGAAAGTTCCAACTATATCATTTGGTTCACCAAACTTGTAGATTTATGTTATCGTTCATATTTTTCGCGTCAATATGTTCTGTAAATATTTTTTCACGTTATTTTTAGCATAAATTTACAAGGAATGGAATGCTACAATACATAAGAATACGTAAATCCAAATAATACTTACGACTTTCATTGTTATTGCCGTCATCCATCACGATCTCTTTCATAGCCGCCTCTAATTCCTTTTGAGTCAAATACCTCCGAAAATATTTTACGAACTGTAACGTTCACTGCACAAGACACAAACTAATACAAAAGAACACGCTAATTGGTGGATGTATATTCTACATGCGGTTACTTGTCTAGACTTGCAATAACAAAGTTTTGTTACGCAGATAAAACCAGTGGTGCATTCACTCACCAGTAAATATTTTCAAAAAATAAAGCATAATTAATATAGTGTTTCCACTGTATGTTTTCTGCTATGTAATCTACATGCTATAGACTTAACAAAAATGGCAATACAAATCCAAAATATTTTTTTTTACTATTTTGGTTTCACTTGAAAATATGCTACAAATGTATGTACCGCTTTTGTTAACTTTTGAAGTCATATGTAACATGTTTCCTTTACACATAAATTAGCGATTTCTACGGTTTTATGTCCTTTACTAGTGATTATAATAAAATTTCTAAATGGATGTGCAAAAATATTTCCTGGATGTGACAAAAAGAAATCATAGAATAGGTGGTGCATTAACGCACCACTGGGACAAAATGGGTCACAAATATACGCCCAACTGACAAATAAAATTTTAAAGCAAAGAAATTTAAACTAAGTTATTCTTCTTTTCTCCTTTCTCCTCCTGATGAAACGTACCTAAAATGTTATATTTTGATTAGTTAAATGGTAGAAAAGGGTTGATTTATTTTATATCATTTTATATTTATATTTATTTATATTATTTTATATTACATATATATTACATATTATATTACATTTAAGGTGATTTCTTGTACATTTTAAAAAACTTTTTCTGAGCGTTGGTAAATTTGGACGTCACAAACGCATAATAATTTAATATAAAATTCATATTATTATTTAATAATGATGGATATCATTGTATAATTGCAAGATGTTATTTAAAACATTTTGATCGAATTTAATTGGTCAATTAAAAAGTGGTCAATTGACCAGTCTCAGCAATAATTAGAACACATATTTAATTAAATTGTATGAATGTCTTAGCCACGGTCACTTTTCGACACTTTTGAGGATTATCTGGAAATTATTGAAAACGTTATTTTTTGTAAAAAATGGAATTTAAATTTTTGCTTTTACGAAAATAATATAATCAAAGCTACTAAATGGAAAAAAGGGACTACGAACACTTTACTAGTGAGTTCTTTCGACTTATGCAAAATCTGAAAGAGATTGAGGGACAGACCCCACAACCTTCCACATCTGATAATATTCCAGATAATTTGCAAAAGTGTCCAAAAGTGAACTAAATTCTTTGAGTACATTGAACAGCGAAATTTAACTTTGTCTTAGGTTCTCATGACTGCTCTATACGATTGTGGCATTTGGATAACAAAACTTGCGTGCAAGAAATCACGGCCCATCGGAAAAAGTTCGACGAGAGCATTTTGGACGTGGCCTTCCATCCATCACGACCCTACATAGCCAGCGCGGGTGCTGACGGATTAGCCAAAGTATTCGTTTAATTCCAGCAAATATTTATATATTTTTTACTTTGGTATATAATTACCGAACGGAGGCAAAACGCTTGTTCCAAAAGTGACGGGCCCATTGAAAAAAAAAAGAAAAAAAGAAGATAGTTGAAAATTTAGATGGCCGACTTTTGTTCGGCGCGTAGTTAGTGATTTACTCAAGAGTTACGTAGGTGCTAGAGGTTTCGCCTAAAATATGATGTTTTTTTAGTTCCCAAATTGCGTGTCTCTTTTGGGACGATTTTTGTTACACCGACACATTACGGAGACTCGGAAAACGATAATTTTGTCGATATGGTTAATCGAAACCCCATTTATTAGTTGCATGTTAGTGTACATCTATTTTTTTTATATATATATATATTACGAGTCTAGTACTTTTTCGTTCAATCAGTCTTGTATCAGTTTAGCTTAGGTGTACATAATATATAACAATGAATTTTTTAATTTGTATATATTAATCCCATCCGATATAATCTTTTGTAAATAAGTTTATTTATTTTTATTTTAAGTGATATAAATGCGAAAGCGTGATTGTGTGCAACAGATCTGTTGTATATAACACCGAGAAAAAATCGCCTTTGTTAAACAGTTGCTTGTTTGGTTGAAACGTGCCTGTAGATAACTATTAATTGTTAATTTTTAAACAGGGGTTCATCATTTTTATAACATTGATTGATTCGAGCGGAACTTGGCCACCATAGGTGCAGTTCTGCTACTTTTTGATGAGATGATGTAACCTCAAACCTGTTCCTTCGATGTGGTTGAAGTGAGCAAAATTAAATGATAAGAAATAACCTTCACCTAAATCACATCAGTAACGCAGAACGAAAGAATACTTTCATCATCAAGCTGGTTGACAGTTGACATTTGACATTTATTTGACATCACGCCTTATCAATAATAAACGTAATTAAGAAGCATTTTTTCAACATTTAATAATCGTAAGCCTTTCGCACGGCGACCATCAAGTGAGCAACTGTGTTATTTACTCTTTTAGAATAGATATTGTATTATTTGTGATACCAGCTATAAAAAAGTACATACGATAATAAAGTGTAGTATTTGAATTGTTTTCTTTAACAACACTTTAAACTGCCTTATTATTACGCTGTTGGAGACTAAATTGAGTTTCGCTCTTCATTGCACTATGGGCAACGTAATTTCTTTGGTGTTTTCCGTAATTTAAGTTAATAAATGCTGATTTTAATGTTTCTGTTGTCCTTTTGTAATTTGAGGCATTGAAAACCAAGTGACCCACGCTAATTAGAATTTATAGTTTTTAATGTTTCACTTCACAGTTTTCCAGTTCTAAATTATTTGAAAAATTCCGTCTTTACTAATATGCTTCCCAGGTTTTGAGTTACTTCCATTAATGTGTGTTTAAATTTGACCTAAAAGTCCACAGTAACTGTTGTTTGATTTCAGCGTAGTGTTTCCTAGTGTGCATATCAAGATCATCGCTACTACCATGGGGACTAAAGTCTGCCTTTGAATTGTCACAAGTCAGTAAAGTATTAACCAGGATTAATGTAAGTTGTGATAATCCCAATGGTTTTTTATCATATTTCCCAAAAGTAGTTGAGAGATTGTAGTTAACCCTGCATTGTCGGACTTCAAAAATCACCTCTATAACTATTTCCTGACCATAATATTTCATAAAGTGTCTAAATTTCCTTGGTTTTAATTAAACTCGGCAACATAGAAATAGAAAAAATTTGTGTTTAATTATAACCTAAGATGAAAAATCTTATATTTACAAAGAGTGTTTTGAACTGAAGTGGCTTTTACTCCATTTAACAAAATAAATAAGAACTAAAAGTTCACATTTTCACGAAGTTATATACAACACCGTGTCTTTATCAAATGATATTTGATGAAGACGCGGTGTTGTCGAAACAATTGTCATGTGGAAATATAGAATTTCGTGAAAATCTGAACTTTTAGTTCTTATTTATTTTGAATAGTGTTTTATTTGACCAACAAAACCGAGGAACTTTAATACCCTTTAAAAAAAATCGTATTTGACTTGAATATGCTCTTAATATGCACATTTTGCGCTGTATATTGAAAAAGAAAGGACGATGGAAAACTGTATATTTTTTTCAGATTTTTAAATTTTGTTTCAAGTGCGACCAAGTTTCGGTTGGCTGGGGCACTGTCAGCCCTTAAATTTAAAACTCAGAGAAAGTTGTTTGTAATGTTCGCTGACTATTTTTTTAGTATCGATGCGTTTTTCTTAACGGAATTTCTAGGTACAATCATTTAGAATAGTTTTACAAATAATCCATAGGGATACATTTTGTGAAAAGTATATGATGTCATCACAATCAATTTAATTATTTTCTTAAGTGAATCTTTTTCTTTGTATCTACACTTAAAAATTGCTATTGGTTACCCATCGAGTTCCTTTATCCATTAACAACAATACTTATTACAACTTAATAAATGAATAAAAAGTATACACAAACAATGCATATGGTGTTAGATTAGTGAAATAAGTTAAAGTGAAAATCAAGTACCAAAATGTAATAAAACTCCTTTGAGATCTCAACTGCTACAAACTAGTGTTCAATCTACACAATAATTCACCCTTAGTTGTATCAATAGGATTTTTTTTAACGTTGTGTGTGTACTTTTTACTGTCAATGTGAAGAGATGTCACTCAATGTGATTTTATACCTTTCTAAATTTTTGTATTCAACATACGTTTTAGTTACAGCTAGCGAATTCTAAAGTAGCGCGTAAAATATTGTATCAAACTCCGTGTAAAAAAAGCCCACAATAAATTGTACATATATTATTGTGAAGTTGATTTTTTTTAAATTGCAGTGACTGAATATCTGCCTACAGTAAAATAGGCACAGTAACAATCTTTTCGGAAATAAAGCGTAATAAATATTCGGTATAATAATAGTTTTATAGCAGCAAACAAAAAACAGATTCCAAAAAACTACTAAATTATTACAAAATATAAATGTTTCTAGGCACATACAAAAAGCTAGTGAATTAAAAATGTATTGATAGAAGCAGTTTACACTATTAGGTTAATGTTTCGTTGGGTAACCTTTTAAATTTAGCGGTTTTTGTGTTATTTTCCCCTATTTTTTTCAATTCTATGCTATGTCATAACACCGAATGGTAATATATACTGCAGGTGCTCAATTGGATTGAGATCCTGACTTTTTAAGTTTTTGTGCACTCTTAGGTAAACGTTTTTTTCTACTCCCGCCTGTGAAATACCTAATTACACACCGATTTAGCGTGCGGGAAGCGTCACTTTACCACGTCAGTTTCGTTTATCATGAATCCGAGCCACTTCGGACATTTCCAGGATTTTACCGCACGGATATTTCCCACGCTTTGAATTTTGGTGTTTGTCAATTCTGACGGTCATGTCAATGAATGTATTCGTGTTGTTTGGCGAAAATGTACCCAAAAACTAACTGTCGTAGAAAAAGTATAGTATGCAACACGTTCGGTAAACTTTTTAACTCACTCGTTTATTAAAAAGTCGCTCCTCTGCGCTCCTCTCTTGTCAAGTAAACTTGTGAGTCAAATGCCGTTTACCGAACTTGTTGCATAATATACTATTATCTATTATTCCTTCAATATTACGGAATTACCACCGAATTACACAAAATTATAAATAATTTTATAAAAGACTGTCATTAAGACTTGACCTTGCAGATATCAAAATTATATAACGAATACTTCTCGAAGCTTTTGAGACAACTTTCAATCTACTTACTCTAAATAAAAAACGTGGAATACAACATCTTTTACATACTTGCTCTTATCTTTTATCTCTTGCAAAAAGAGGACTACAACATAATGAAAACTATGAAATTTAAGTTTAAATCTCATTTTAACGACAAATTTCAACAAAATAACAGCCACGTTTTCCGTTTAAAGTTTTTGGTGCACCCTGGTATACGCCCATTTTTGTTTACCTTTACTCCTGACGGCGAGAAACTTAGTTTTGCCAATTTTAACATTTTTTTGGGCGTGGAATACGATGTAATATTTTCATTGTTTTTTTATTCTTCACAAGAGGGATGAAAATGCTATCTCTGCCTGTTAATGTGCCATTTATTTAACTCACCTTGCCCCGTAAGTAGTTAGTTTTGTTAATGATTGCAGTTAAAATAATTTTTAAAATACCATGAAATCTATATTTATTTATGTTCATTTTGTCGTCATGGCGGGCACCACGTATGGGGATATTCCTTGAAGAGAGTTATAGGTAAATTGCAAAATACATGTCCGTCTCAATAGAGAAGAGCCCAGTGACGTCAGATGCCCAGAAGACGAATTTCAAGTGGCTGTCAGCTGTGGTTCGAAAATGCGGCCCACTGGCGTGGATCAAATCTTTGCGGTCGTTTACGTTTCGTGGGTGGTTATATTTCCTTGGTATTTATAGATTATTATTTTCGTTTTGGTTGGTTAGTTTTGGTTTTTGATTAGTATCTTTGTTAAGGTAAGGAATTTTAATGAAAAAATGAATGAATTTTAATGAAATAATATTATTTCCGCCAAACTGATATTAAAAATTTGGTGAAAGCGCCAATAATTGAAAATAAAATACACGTAATTGAAGTAAGTCCCGCCACTGTTTCACCAACACCAAAGAGTATAAGATGGAGGGGAAGGTTACTGCTACGAATGCCATCTATTATGTGTGTCCAAGTACTAAAGTACTGTCATGGCGGTTTAAAGTATGGGTCACACTGAAAATACTACAGTAGCTTGTAACGGATAACAGCACTTTATTTATATTTTAATAAAAAAAATTTAAACTGTTTCGACATAAATAATTTTTTTTCACATTTTACCTTTCAAACTTTAAATTGAATTGAATTCATGACTGGGCACAATCACTAGAGGGCGCTGAAACTCGTGTACGCTTTTTAATATTGCCACTAATGGGAGCCTTCCCCTGTATCTTATACTTTCTGACCTACACGATGAAGAACGCAATAACGCGATAACGCGGTAAGGAGGCAGTTCTCTATTGAAACCGACTTTAATTAATTTGTGTTCATAATCCCCAACAGATATATCCTGTTTTAACGCATTTACTGTATAAGGAGAAGAATCGACGACTGATCTCAAATTTAAAAATTGCAAACAATTTAGTGAGAGATAGAAGTGATCCATTTAATCTGCAATAAAGAGCTAGTTCTCAATTTATTTAACGAATTGCTCCCACACATGGAAAATAGTATTAGGAATTCAAGAATTCCGAAACCAACGAGAACTGATTGCGCTACATATTTTTATTTTTATTTTCTCTTCACTATGTATAGTATGTGATCTATCAATCATTGTTTTTGAATGAATATGATAAAAATGGTCAACTCCTCAGCATTTACTTTATTTTTATGCCAACCTATGTATTTCGAGGAATATTTTAATTATATTTGTTTCCTTCATTCGAGCTCCAAGGAATATATTGGTGATTCAGCGTATGCATTACAACCCTGGGTCATGACTTGTGATACACCCGAAGTACTATGGAAAGATGCATTGGTGTTTTTAAAACTCGATTTAGATGCATAATAATATTAATACATTTATTCTGCAATGTTCAATTTAGAATACAATAAAATACCAATAAACCACATAAATTGCAAAAAAGGAGATGAAAGAAATTAAAACTGTTCCAAGTTCAACCCCTACAAAATAATATACATGTATATAAAAATTAAAAATTTGGAACTTACTCGAAAATCACTTGCAATTTGCTTGTTGGCTGAACATTTATTGCCTTATTTTTTTTTAAGTTTAATGGTGATAAGGCTTTTAAAGAGAGAGGAACGGCATTGTAAAGTTTGTAAACGTTTTAGGAGAAGCTTCTTTGAAAAGTGAGGTCCTGTGTAGTAGTGGAGAGATAAGAGCCCTAAATCTAAGGTTCAATCTGTAAGCATCTGTCCGAAATGTTATTTTATTTGTCAAGTAAGGGGGATTGTTATTAAAAATAATGTTGTGAAAAAATATCAAGGAGTGTAGTCTACGCCTATTCTGCATATTCAACTACTGTACTTTTCTGTGAGACTGGATCACATTTTCTTATACCATAAATTAACTGCGAACAGTTTTTTTGTACAATAGTTAAAGTGACTTAACACTAGAGAATCCGTTAATTTAATCTTTTGAGCCTCAGACAATAAATGGCGATGCGGATAAAGCAACTTTAAGGAGACGTATCCCTTTTGTAAATAATAGCCAACTAGCTCTCAAAACCGCAAAATCTGTGTTAATTCTTAGGCCAAGATTTTTTGCACAAAGAGAATAACAGATGATTTACTTGGATTATGACGTGCTGAAAAATCTGTTAGTTCTTTTAAATTTGCATTGATCAATATTTGAACCGTATACCAAGTAATGGGGAGCGCTCATTGTCCGCTCATAGTTGTTGTTTTTAATTGCACACAAAAAAAACATATCACAAGGAAACTATTTATAACAAACAATAATTAACACAAAAAATAAAACTACAATATTGCAGAAACCGGAACTAATTTAACATTTTACATAACACAAACCATTACATAATAGAATATGCAGACACTTTTCAATTTAAAAAATTATTTTGGCTCCAACCTCTTCAATAATTGTGGAAACAAATCATTGTGTCTTTCTTAATTTTCACATATTCGAATAAACTAATAAATTAATCGACACTCAAAAAGAACCAAATATATAAAAACGTTTTTTAGCGAGAATCTCTTAGCGATCTTTTGTCTTGAAGTTCGGAAATACGTTCGGCTCCACCGTACGTATCCGAAAGCGCTTACAGAGTTTAAAAATGCGCCATTATCGAAATAATCTCTCCTTCTTCACATAAAACGAATTACAGAGTCCCACCCCCGCGGCTAAGTCTCCAGATGCATTAGAACGTAGCAGCAGGGTAACTCTATCCTTTGCTGCCTTAAATCCAGCAGCACTTCTAGAAATGAATCTTTGGTTTGACATTCTCTTCTAGAACAGTGCAGTTTCTTCTGCAATAAATACATGAATCCTCGATCAGGCACTAGATTTGCAAAGTCTTGTGGATATCGTTCCCTTGCACCAATGTTCACAGTGAAGTTGAAGCTAGAGACGACCTCATTTTATCTTCGATCGTACAGTTGATTCGTCGACATTGAATGAGCGTGATATGGAAGCAAATGACTCTCCAGGGCTCTCATTTTTTCAGTTGACATAAATTAGAAAAAGAGGGATGTTACTCGATAACAATTTTTGTATCATTATTGGGTTGGATATTGGAATCCTTTTATTATTATTTTACTGTACTCTTTATTACATATTGCAAGGTGCTGATATCACGCCTGTTAATAGGCAATAATTATTAATTGTTTTAATTTCATTAATTAATTCAATGTTTGTTTGTTTTGGTTATGTTTAATATAGTAAACATGTCAAAAACACTAAACTTGATTGAAATTAAATCCAATTACCAGCGTACTATAGATTAATTGGACTTATTAAAATTTTGCGTCGGTAATCCATAAAACTTGCTGGTGTATAGCTTTATGCGTGGCGTTTATAAATAATTCGCGAAAGGTAAACCATAATAAATGACGCACAAAACGCGGCCAAGCACGAATGGGGAAGAACGAAATTATTTATATAAATGGCGGCATCAGGTGCCGTATTTTCGGGGATGAAAAGCCGGCCAGTCGCATAAGAAAGTGGGATTTTTGTTCGGCGTTGCCCCTGACAAAGACCCCGGGGCATCCTCGGGGGACTCGTACATGGCCGTCTTGTCAGCGTCATTCGCAA